GTGAGAGGCAAAGTAAACGCACTTTTCACCTCTCACCAAGCTCCTTTTGCGAGGAAAGAAAAATCAACCTGCAAGTATTTGAGTGTTTGAACTGTGGTAGACTGGGAAATATTAGTAGTGACAGTTTTAGTCCTAGGCCACCACATAACATTGAATCGTGAAGCCTACTTTTCCAACGGATAGGAATTAATTAATTAATGAAACAGCAAGTGCATTCAACTTTTGATGCCAGAATGTGTATTTCTTTCTATATACATTTTCCATCGAAACGAGACACTTGCTCAGTTAGTAGGATTTTAGTTGGCTACAGGCTACTGTATTTATTATTGGATGTTTGGAAATACACATTTATAACTTGAATTTAGGCTCATCTATGGCTCCGATGGTTGAAAATGGAAGGACCATGGAAGCATGTGACCATATACAACGCAGCACAAGGAATGGAAAAAAAGATGCACAAGTGCAACTTTTATTTTTTCCTCTATGTCGTTGTCTTTAGAACATGATGGGTTGTTTTTTAATCAACAATGAATGTATACATTTAGCAAATCATTTTGAAATGGAAGTATGTGCATTCTGTAGGCCTAATACTAATCTATGCATTTGTGTTGAATCGAATTAATGCCTGGATGTGTTTTTTCGAGAAGGCCATTTTAGAGTGTTAGCGACTGATTGTCCAAACGCAATTCTTGAGCAAAATCAAACAAAACCCCAAGAATTGTGCATGGACATCTGTTGCTGAAAACTCAAATTCATCCTGGCTTTATTCAAACGAAAAATCCAGAACATTCAAGAAACAAAATATGATAATGTTATAAAAATGTCCCAGTGCAGGTAAGAATAATCCACAATTTTTCAGCAGATTAAAATGGGTTTGATTCGATATAAACAGAGATATGAGATTATGCTTAGCCAATAAAGGGAAGAAACCCAATATGACTGCCTCATGTACTGTATGTTTCTTGGTGTATGTTTTGTGTAGGCCCGATGGGTCCACCAATTGGTGTGTACACTTAGTCGAAAATCTAATTAAATCAGTTTGTTTTAAATGGCAACTATCAATTGGAGTCATTGATTTATCGAGTGCTTTGGCCATTTGTACAATTGTTACTTGACTAGCCACACATGTCTTCATAGAGATTCGTCAGCCTTTTCAAAGGACAAAAGTTATCATCAAAATGAACGGTGACTTTTGGGCTATACGTCATTCAATGGCTAAAATGATCAAGCCATCCTAAGGTCTTGCATCTAAAATGTTTGGATATTAGTTATTTCTTTACTATGCCATTAGGCAACCTGACCTCACGACGGTTTCGGTTTGGTGTAAATCAAGAAAACATAGGCCTACCTTATCTTCTATGTGTTTTTAATTCTATTGGTTTAACCATTATCTTTGAGATAATAATTATCATAATAGGTCTAGTAAAATGTTGTATTTGATCATTAGTATCAAAGTATCAGTCTGTTGTTTATGTAGCTTTTTGCATAATTTACAGAACTGTCGAACTATTGTGTAAACATAAACTATCTCATTTTAAAAGAGGGATGATCGTGTTTTTATGGTACCGCTAATTCCAAAATAAATTCGTATATTTTAGGGCAGGCCTAGGATTTACAGGTATATAGCCTATTTTAATTATAGTAAAACAGATTATTTTGAATTGGTTTGAAATATAACTATAGGCCTAAAACCTAACCAATCTGACATGTAATCTTTACATAATAGTGGATTACACAACTGTATACTCATGGATTTGCAGTACACGAGGTGTCAAAAGAGTTTGGCTGGATAGAGAGCAGTAGAATGCCAGTATTAGGGACCGTTTGATGACGTTAGGGGGAAAAAGACTTGGCCTGAATTTAGTGGCATGACACTTGAATCACGTAAAACAGTCCTTGGCCTAATTTGGCGGTCAATTGTAGTTTCTAAATTAAACGTTTGGTTAAAAAGGATCTTTAAAGATGTTTTAGATTCGTTTGAATATATAATTAATATTATCAACATCATGAGAAGTGCTGAATGTGTATGAGAATACTGGTAAATAAGAATGCCTCCATAAGCATGCCTTCATAAGTTACACAATGCCTGTTCGATTGTGTATGAGGATCAATATTTTTGAAGTCTCTCTGTCACACAGGCACGCACACACACAAGATTAAACAATGGTTTTGTACAATGACGTTTAACTTAATAAATATCTGTCAGACAATATAGGCCCATCTATGAATTGTGGTTATATTTCTCCAGCCCCATCAATCAGCTTTGCCTGCAGTTTGGCTGAAATACGAATTTAAGAGTTGTGAATTTAAGAACAATTGAATATTTTTCAGAAATATTAGTTTTTTATGTTATGTAACATTTAGCAGACTTGAGAAATACGTTTTTGTGTTTTACACATTGGTAAAAAAATAATAACCATACAATTATTAATAATACAAATCATGCAAATATAATAACAGTAATTTCATACAGTAAATAGCCTAATATTTATAGTTATAACGTTAAAATGGTTTTAGTAATACGCTTATATTTATAATAGCCTATATTATATAATCTTAGCCAAAGACTTGAGTAATGTGGTAGAATTGGTTGTCGTCTTCTAACCATATGACATAGGAGAGGCAAAAAATGTTGGTCAAACGTAACCCCCCTTTATAGATGCAGGGTGCAGGACATCTTTTCACATCACCCCCGACCCCCTACAGACCGAACGTGCATGGATGTAAATTAAGGCCCCAACATCCACCTGCTATTATGGTTGGTTTGGGAGTGCTATTTGGTTGTCAACTAAAAACGATGCAAGGAGGTAACAACTGAAAAAAAGAAATGCTGTTTTTTATTTTGCCAATAAGCGTAGGGACAATGGGGGGGCATCATGAAAACGTATAGGTCTAAATGCTATAACAAAGGTCCTATTAATAGTTATGAACACTACAATAAAATTGATTTATATTTCTAAACATAACGCTATTCAACTTACATAAATGCAGCGTTTTCCAAACTCGGTCCTTGGGCGCACGTTTTGGTTTTCACCCTAACACTACACACAACTGATTCAAATTATCAAAGCTTGATAATTAGTTGATTATTTGAATCAGCTGTGTAGTGCTTGGGCAAAAACCAAAACGTTCACCCCGAGTTTGGGGAAACGCTGCATAAATGCAAAGGTGTGAAAATCTCGTTTATGGAGATAAAGTAATTTAAATATAAAAAATCAGCTCACACATAGGCCAGGCTTATGGAAGGAATCCAAAAAGACACTTTTCGTCTTACATTTAGAAGAATCCATCCATAAATAGGCTATAACGCAATTAACTGATTTAAAAAAAAATTGTCATACAATTAATCATTATTTAATTAGAACAACCAATGCAATCTTCAAATGTATTTGGTTATTTTCTTTAGGGCCCTAGTCTATTTCCCCCCACTCGTTTATGATTCCATGAGATTCCATTAAAAAGGTTTGGATTAAAACGCAATTAAAATGGGATGCTATTCTACAAATCACCTGGATAAATACACGCAGAAAAACGTGCTAAAACAAGCAAGTTTTTTTGCTGGCTTTGAGTCTTTGATAATTATCCAGTGTTTTGTGGAGCCCAACCGACTCATGGCCTCTCGACAGGTCACGCCGCGGGGTGCACCGTGTGTTCTTTTCTCAGCCCTTTCTCCCCCTCAAAAAAGGCTTCCCCTCGCGCCACACACACGCACTCAAATTTGTAGCTCAACCTTCAAGCACTGACTGCCACACCACATTTCTCCCTCTCGCAAAGCTAATTTGCATTGGCATTATAGCTACTATTATCAGATGGTTTCCCGTTGCAAATCGAGTCTACAACCGCCGTGGTCTTTCTTTCAGGTTGATTTTATGAATATTCTACGTGAAGGCTCTGAGGAGAAATAGTCCTTAAATCCCGCTGTAATCAGCCCATATCTCCAATCCGATACCTCATTTAAATTGATCCGTTTTAATCACGATATAACACTTTTAAATGCTTATTATTGGCCTATAATGTACCGTTATAATAAAACATTATGCCATAGCCATACCATAATAATACAATTTCAAGCAAATCATTCAAATGCGTGTAACTATAGGGGAATGGGTAAGGACAGACAACAAACAACAACGTAAACAGGTTGTGTATGCTTAGACATGTAGAGTGAGGCATAGTAAATTGTGACCTGTCATCCAAGTAGCCTTTTATTCTGTACTGCAGCAAACAGAAAGATGTTGTTGAAAGGGAACGTTAGACAATTTGTTATGTATTAAATGAGTTAAAGTATGCAATCCTTTTATTTTTTTGAATCTGATCTATCAATTCAATTAAATACATTTGTTTATGGTTACATCTTTACATCATTGCAGCAAGCTAAATTAATCGTTTTTGACAGATTGTCTCAATTTCCATTTTGTCTCAAAACATCAAAACATAAATTGAAGGATTGAAGCAGCAATTTGTTGGTGAATAAAAAAAGTACAAATGGTGGTAAATGATTAACATTCTTGACCAATCACATGCAGAGTTCAAGGCAAAAAGGTATCAGCTCAAGTCCTACTGCATCTTCTGAATCCATTTGAATGGAGACAGAACTGTAGCAGAATATTCATTTGACTGTGGCCCTGAAAATACCCACACCATCACCATAGAGTCCCTCTCCGTAGATGAAATCTTCTCCTCACTCCACAAAACATCATTCTGGAGGACCAGCACCCATATTAAAAAAAAACAAGTCTGAGTGCTGATCTAGGATCAGGTCCACCCTGTCCTTATAATTGTATTAATTATGATCTAAAAGGAAAAACTGATCCTAGATCAGAAATGAATACAGGCGGAGGTCTTGGAGAACTAAAAAATCATAGCATCCCAGTGTTCTTTCAGTGGTTGGTTGGTTGGAGCTGAGAGTTCCAAGAGTCCAGCAAGTTTTGTTTTGGAACAATAGGACTAGGAGAAAGTGAGGGGGATTGTGTGTGGACATCTACACCCAGTGTATTCTAACCTCCATGGAGAGTAGAGATGAATACTACGTTGTCCTTGTCCTGCAGCTTGTACTCCAACTCACCCTTCAGATAGAGAGATATAGAAACGTGTGTGTGTATATGTGACACAGATGCATGCTATGGATATTTAAAATATACAAATACATACGTTTAAATAAGGAAAGAGAGAGACGCATATAGACACAGTCAGACGTACACACGTAGGTTATAAGATGTGAATATAAAATACAGGGAGGAAATAGAAAAAAGGGAGTGTGGATTTGCTTCTGGAAAAAACACAGAAATGGTATCAAAAGGGTGCTCTTCCAAAATGCATTTAGTTAAAAAAGACCGGTATTGTTTTTAGATGTACACTGTAGCAGAATCAGATACAGAATCCATATACTGTGCAAATAAACAATGTGTGTGGAACTTTTTGTGTTTTCTTTTTTTTACACCCAATAGAACACTCACCATCAATTCCCAGTCAGCATCATTGATAAGTACCAAGATCCCAGGCCTCCTATTAAAATGAAGGAAAAAGCATTGCATTGGAATACCTCAGACACACAAATAAGACAATCTAGTCTCAGGATAATTCTACACAATGAAGAAAAATGAAATCACATGCATGCATTTTACACATCACAGGAGGATGCAGGAGGGACGATCAGGTGTGTGTGATCATGTGTTGTAGAGGGGGTGTTGGGGGACTGCGTACCCGCTGAAATCTGACTATGGTATCTGAAGACATAGCGACGTGCGCCACAACTGCATGTTGTTTCTCTTGCTGTATGTATGAAGTTGCCTCCATCACCACCGCGGTCGGTGCGCTCTGACGTCACAGAGTCACAGGGCTACATGCGATGCTCTGATAGGCTGCTTTACCTTCAAAAACGCCCTTTCCATACGGCATAACATACATAACCTCCCCTGACATAGCCAGTACACCTCAAAACAAACAGATTCAAACAGCCTCCACTAATGTGGTGCAGCTGTTAAAAATGTCGGTTTTCAGGTTAAAAGCAAAGCATCCCGGTTTGGAATGCAATGTGTGATCTACAATGATTAAGAGTAGACAGACACACTCTCTCTACAGTGGACCTAATCTATAGAGTCTATAGGTAGTGGCACAGATTTTCTCCCTCTCTCACATATCCTCCCTTCATTAGCTAGTTACCCCTATCAATAGACCCCTATAAAAAGGAACAGTAAAAGTCAAAGCCCTTAGCTCTTAGCCTAGAATGGGTGAGGAGGAGAGAGCATCCACAAATCACAACTCTGTCCAGTAGTATCCATCTTCCTTTAATGATGGCTGTGTCTTTCGGTCACATCTTGGGCAAATATAAACATTCGTCTGCATCTCTCCTTTTGTAACTGTTTCACCCCAACAAGAATAAAAAGTTGATCACTAAAAAATGAATGGCGGTGTGTGTGTGTGTGTATAATACTCACACAGTATCTCCCTGGACAAAGAGCTCGGGACGTTCCTTCAGCATGTTCCCTCTGATCCATACCAGCAGCTGCATCATGTCCCCTACACACGCACACAGGCACACAGACAGAAGCAGAGACAGGGGTCAGAGGTCAGAGTTCAAGGTGCATGGTTCCAGCCCCCCATCCCAGCCGGTCGATGTGACGCGACAGAGGGACCAGGGATCACTAGAGATCACTGTATGTGTGTGTGTGTGATGCTGAGGGGGATGGAGCGACAGACGTCTCAAAGCCAGCCATCGCCCTCATTCACCTCTGGGACATTAGGTTTTATATTAGGATATCTTGGCAAACAAAGAGGTTAAAATATAAAGGAGCTTTTAAATGGATAACATCCTGACATATATAATCCTCCACTTCCTAAGTGGAGGTGTGCATGATATGCATGCAGTGCTGTCCCCGTAAACCTAACGGGCCGGTTTCCCAGATTCAGGTTAAGCCTATTCCTGGATTAATAACTAAATACATATTTTCAGTTGATTGAAATTGTTTTCTGTCTTTTGAAAGAAAAATAATAGCTTAATCTCTGTCCAGGAAACCGCTCCTAAATGGAGATTAGGAATTGATTGACAGAAAATGCAAAGCCCAAAATAAGGAATTCACATTATTGTGTCCGTCTATATGCATTTCAAAATAAAACACGTGTCTTTTTTAAGAACTTGAACGTTAGTGATGTTAAACATTTTCTATGAGTCTGACCTCTGGAACAATAGGCTGTTGTTTGGAAATTGACCTCGCATTAACAATGGCTTGAGCTACTTGAACCGTCAGGCTACAGAGAGCAACATATCCTGAACCGTCGGGTTACGAGAGCAAAACACACACACACACACACACACACACACACACACACACACACACACGTTACAGGCCAATTATAATATCCTCTCCCCACCTTATGATACGATTCCATATACTGTAACCTAAGCATTCATTACTGTCCATCAATATGCGTGTGAATGGAATGTGTGTTTCCTTATAAAAAACTGTATGTGTTCTTAAACGATCATGGCCGTCTGCAGATGTACAGGAGCACAAGGCCTCGCGATGGCACACGAGAGCAGAACTGGGACTGCAGTTTCCCATATCACAGAAACACACACACACACCAGCCTTCCCATCCCTAACACAGCATCATCAGCCTCTCTCACCGGATCCAACCAGTTCACTCTGTGCTGATATGGATGTGAGAGGGAGGGAGGGAAAGAGGGAAAGAGAGAAGGGGAGAAAGAAGTGAAGGGATATATAAAATAGAAAAGTCTACGTTGCAGCGGAAATAATATCTAAGGTAGGGCGTTTGATAGAATGTGACGAGGCTGTGCTCAATGCCCACTAAAGCGTATAATCATTTCAGTATTGCCATCTCCACTGATGTGCTATTCAAACCCATAACCTCTGAACAGGGCATGTCACAGAAAGGACATGTAAAATAAACCTAGGGGCCGGTCTACAGACAGACAGCCCTGGCACATCAGAAAGAGAGGGAGGAAGCTCTTCACAGAGCTAACACCTCTCTTACTCTACACCAGTGATTCTGTGGACATCGATAAAGCTGAAACTACGCTTGGGAGTTGTGGAATCCAGCCTGTCTAAAACATCTAGGCTCTCTGCTCGTTACAGAACAGTCCTAGTACCTGGGGGTACTGTAGGGTTTTGGAGAAGTGTTTGGTGGGGCTTTAGTGCATCTCAGAGGCGGGAGGGGGCAGTATCAGGTTAATTGGATGGCTGTCAGACCTCTTCACGAGTGTAATGATCAGCCTACCTTCCTCCCTCCCTCCCTCCCTGCCCAGAACCCCCCTCTCTCTCTCCTCTTCCCAGCACCTATAAAGAAGAGTGATGCAGAGCAAAGGCAATTAATATTGACTTGTACCTCAGCACAGTTCTAAAAACAGAAGCCAATCACTCCGCTCTCATCATTTCGCCTTTGTGGAAGCAAGATACGCTCTCTCCTCTCTCGCAAAAACCGCTGAAGTCTATCGCATCCCCCCCTCCCGCCCTGACTGTCGATTTTCCTTCAGAGAGACTTAGAGGTCAGGGCGGCCGAGGGGGCAGAGATGAAGGTTCTCCTGGACTCCGGTCTGCTTTCATTGTCCTGGGTCGTACTCATTAGGATATGCAACGGAAAACAAGAGTTTCTTATTGGACAAGTTCAGGTAGTCCCTCCCCGATTCAGCCCAGTTTCTGTCGTTTGGCGCCTAGTGAATACGACCCTGTTTGTGTTTCAGCCCATCCATAGGCTGTAGAGGAGAGTGCAGGTGGGCGGAGGAGGAGGACGGAGGACAACAATGGAGAGGAGGAAAAGGAGGAATGTGCGTCACAGGCTCCGCGCAGGTGCATTATGGGATAGCGCTGTGTGGGTCGGAGGGGAGAGGGCGTCTGAACAGCGGACTAAAAGCATTCCCTCTCGTTTTCTTTCCTCTTAATTCACCTCGCTCCCGCCGTGCTTTACGCTACTATTGTTGTTATGGTCGTTATCTGTGGGTGGGAGGAAATAAAGTCATCCATCTTGCTGGAGATGTCTGAGGGGACGTTTTCTGTGATGTGTGTGTAATGGGGGGTGGGGGGGATCTTAGGCGGGGGGGGATTCAGAGCCAGGGTCATCAATCACTCACAGGGGTTAAAGAGATATACTGAGGTTCAGAAAATGATTTTTTCACACACACACACACCACGGTTACACGCACACACTGAGGTCCAGCGGACAGCAGATCAACAAGGTCATCCTAGGCTCACATTCTCTGCTCTGGTCAACTTTTGTCTTGAGGTTGTCCTGGAAACTCCACTGCCACGGAGACCAAACCTTTGTTTGTAGAGGTTAGAACAACCCAAACACTCCTATCACTCCCTCACAGTTCCCTCTACTATGGGGTCTAGCAGGGGAGTGTACATTCACACACTACACCACGGTCACTCACAGTCAGTCATTAACAGACACACATATTGACAAACACTCACACAAACAAAACACAAGAAAAACACAATACGTTTTGACGCACACCACACGTACTAAAAAGCATGTGACAAAAGAGGACACAGAAAACATATTTTTCACCGTAGCAAAACGTTTTGAAACGAAAACGACAGTTTCTATTTGACAAATTCAGGTAGGTCCCTCCTCGTTTGGTTCCGTTTGCTTCGGTTTCGTTCCTAGTGAATACACTGCTGATGTTTACTACAGAGCGAATAGAATGACTTCAATGTCACTGACTTATCTAGATCTAGACCGAGATGACTGAGGTGCTGTACTAAGGAGGAAAGGAGGAAATCACAGAGATGGCGCTGAGGTGCTGTACTAAGGAGGAAAGGAGTAAATCACAGAGATGGCGCTGAGGTGCTGTACTAAAGAGGAAAGGAGTAAATCACAGAGATGGCGCTGAGGTGCTGTACTAAAGAGGAAAGGAGTCAAACCAGTTGAGTGTGTTGAGCTGCAGTTCCACTGCAGTAGGCATCAGATGGCCTCCTCCTCTAGGGATGAGCTATGCAGTTTTAGGAGACCTATTCCTCCATTCTACCTACTTTCACTTCCCTATTCCCACCAGGAGAGCACAGGGATACAGGGATACAGGGATAGACAGGAGAGGAAACAGGGCTACTCGTCCATCCCGCCAACCGCCCAAAATCATTTTACACAAAAAGGACTTGGAAGCTTTGTCACAATTGTCCCCAAATACCCCTTCCTGGGCCCCCTTCCTTCTCCTCCAAAGCCACCCCTACCTCTCCTTTCCTTTCCTCCCTGACTCTGCGTTGTGGATTGAAGACCCATCAACAGTATCACTGGCTGCATTTACAAGTGAATGAGGCCTAATAATGGCGCAGTTAGGAGAAGAATGGGTCGAGGCCCGGGGTGGCTCACAGATGTTGGTGGTGCTGGAGAGGGAAGGAAGGAAGGAGGAGGGGGCTCCAACGCCATTGTTACTGAGGAAAGACTGGAATGAGAGAGGGGAGATGAGGGGGGTGAGCGGGCTGTTTTATACTGATTTGCAACGGAGAAGGAGGGGAGGTGGGGGGGAGAGTTGGCCGAACTGAGGGGCCAAGGCAACCAGACAGGCAGGCAGGCTACTGGCTAGCATGGCCAGCGCAACACCTGTCCAGGCACCATGTGAACGAGGGCTGAGAGAGGTCAGAGAGAGAGTGATGGAGGGAGGGGGAGAGAAGGGAGAGGGCAGACGCAAGGACAACAGTGGTGGGAGAGAGAGAGATGGATGCAGGAGAAAGAGAGATCAGCATGATTTGTGCTGGGGTTTTGTCTCTGCATATTAGCCCCCGCTGAGTAGCGGCCATAAGAGTGGCTAATGCACAACCCCCTCCTCCCTTTTAGACGGCGTTAGAGGAGAAAGGGAGGAGATATATTGAACTAATGAAGTCATCTATGCACGTGACAGTTTTGTTTTGTTTAGTGACATGGAAGAGAAAGGCTATTTTCTTAGGATCTATTAAGAGGGGGAGGGGAGGCAATCAGAGGAGGGCAGAAATACCACATCTCCATCATCCTTCACTCACTGGGTGTAGCGCACTAAACCGTTAAGAACTGAATTTAAACTGAATTCAGTTAGTGGTCTGTTTTAAAACAGAACTGTGCAGAATCAGTCTGTACTGCATAATCAGGGTCTATCCTTGGCTTTAAGTAATGTCTCTTAAAAAATATACAGTAAATGAGAGTAAATATACATTGACAATTGATGAACAAAAACGTTGATAAACAAGTTGTACTTACAGGGTCCTGATTGGTTGGGCAAGGTCACATGATGCTCCTTCACACCGCCAAACAGTAGCTCCGCCCCTCCCCTAGGAAGTAAAGGGCATTTAATTACATAGATGTTCATAGTTATTACATAGGTTGGTAGAGTAACTTTGCAGTGTCACATTGAATTGGTACATAAAAAGTGCAGCCAGGGTGGTATCAGATTACCATCATCTGGAATTAGAGGGCATGGTGGTGAGTTAATCCCTGAGGAAGGCGAAAAGGCTGTGGAGACCAGAGACACTGAAGAATAATGAAGAAGAGAGAGATGGGGAGAGGTGAGACACTGAAGAATAGAGAGATGGGGAGAGGTGAGACACTGAAGAATGGGGAGAGGTGAGACACTGAATAATAGGGAGATGGGGAGAGGTGAGACACTGAAGAAGAGAGAGATGGGGAGAGGTGAGACACTGAAGAAGAGAGAGATGGGGAGAGGTGAGACACTGAAGAAGAGAGAGATGGGGAGAGGTGAGACACTGAAGAAGAGAGAGATGGGGAGAGGTGAGACACTGAAGAAGAGAGAGATGGGGAGAGGTGAGACACTGAAGAAGAGGGAGATGGGGAGAGGTGAGACACTGAAGAATAGGGAGATGGGGAGAGGTGAGACACTGAAGAATAGGGAGATGGGGAGAGGTGAGACACTGAAGAATAGGGAGATGGGGCTCCCCTGCAGTGAACTAGTGTGTGGCATCGGACGCCAGCCGAGATCATTCAATAAAGCATGAGTGTATGTATATCACATCACAGCTATGCGCCTCCCCTTCAGACCATTACAACAGGTCTCACTGGCCTCCCTCACCAAGGACAGAGAGAGACATCTGAGAGAGGCAACTGAAAGTCACCACTCAAGGATAGGGGCTATGAGGGGACCACCTGAGAGACTTCTATCTATTTGCGAGGGACTAGGCTATATACAATGCATCCGGAAAGTATTCAGACCCCTTGACTTTTTCCACATTTTGTTATGTTACAGCCTTATTCTAAAACAATTCAACATAAAAAAAAAAAATCCTCATCATTACCTCATAATGACAAAGAAAAAACTGGTTTGTAGAAATATTAGCAAATTTAAAATAAAATAAAACGGAAATATCATATTTACATAAGTATTCAGACCCTTTACTCAGTACTTTGTTGAAGCACCTTTGGCAGTGATTACAACCTCTAGTCTTCTTGGGTATGACACTGCAAGCTTGGCATACCTGTATTTGGGGAGTTTCTCCCATTCTTCTCTGCAGATCCTCTCAAGCTCTGTAAGGTTGGATGGGGAGCGTCGCTGCACAGCTATGTTCAGGTCTCTCCAGAGATGTTAGATCGGGTTCAAGTCCGGGCTCTGGCTGGGCCACTCAAGATTGTACAGAGACTTGTCCCGAAGCCACTCCTGCGTTGTCTTGGCTGTGAGCTTAGGGTTGTTGTCCTGTCCCCAGTCTGAGGTCCTGAGTGCTCTGGAGCAGGTTTTCATCAAGGATCTCTCTGTACTTTGCTCCGTTCATCTTTCCCTTGATCCTGACTAGTCTCCCACTCCCTGCCGCTGAAAAACATCCCCACAGCATGATGCTGCCACCACCATGCTTCACCGTAAGGATGGTGCCAGGTTTCCTCCAGACATGATGCTTGGCATTCAGGTCAAAGAGTTCAATCTTGGTTTCATCAGACCAGAGAATCTTGTTTCTCATGGTCTGAGTCCTTTAGGTTCCTTTTGGCAAACTCCAAGCGGACTGTCATGTGCCTTTTACTGAGGAGTGTCTTCCGTCTGGCCACTCTATGGCCACTCTACCATAAAGGCCTGATTGGTGGAGTGCTGCAGAGATGGTTGTCCTTCTGGAAGGTTCTCCCATCTCCACAGAGGAACTCTGGAGCTCTGTCAGCGTGACCATCGGGTTCTTGGTAACCTCCCTGACCAAGGTCCTTCTCCCCCGATGGCTCCGTTTGGCCGGGTGGCCAGCTCTAGGAAGAGTCTTGGTGGTTCCAAACTTCTTCCATTTAAGAATGATGGAGTCCACTGTGTTCTTGGGGACCTTCAATGCTGCAGACATTTTTTGGTACCCTTCCCCAGATCTGTGCCTCGACATAATCCTGTCTCTGAGCTCTACAGACAATTCCTTTGATCTCATGGCTTGGTTTTTGCTCTGACATGCACTGTCAACTGTGGAACCTTATATAGACAGGTGTGTGCCTTTCCAAATAATGTCCAAACAATTGAATTTACCACAGGTGGATTCCAATCAAGTTCTAGAAACATCTCAAGGATGATCAATGGAAACAGGATTCACAGAAGCTCAATTTCGAGTCTTATAGCAAAGGGTCTGAACACTTAGGTAAAAATAAGGTATCCGTTTTTTGTTGTTGTAATAAATGTGCAAAAATGTCTAAACTGTTTGCTTTGTCATTATGAGGTATTGTGTGTAGATTGATGAGCATTTTTTTTAGAATAAGGCTGTAACGTAACAAAATGTGGAAAAAGGGAAGGGGTCTGAATACTTTCTGAATGCACTGTACGTTGGCCCTAATCCAGGAGAAGGTGGAAGAGCTGTCAATATTCCTGAGGGACCAATTGAACACAAATACTAGGCTATAGTTTATCAAGCCCAACTCAAGTCTCCCACTATATCAGACATGTCCCAATGCTAGCCTAAAAAAGAGTCAACCAACCACCTCCGTCCACCACACCAAGGCGCCCGGCCAGAGCAGACCCCTGCAGCTGGGTGCAGCTGGTTCACTCTGGGTGACTCACAGGGCAGCAGCAGATGACACTAAACAGATGCCCATGCATGCATTTACATTCTCTACAGATGCCCATCATCTAGGGCTGGACGATATGGCCTGAAAGTCATATCTCGATTTTTTCAAACAAATTCACGATATACACTATCGTCAAAAGTTTTAGAACACCTACTCATTCAAGGGTTTTTATTTTATTTTTACTATTTTCTACATTGTAGAATAATAGTGAAGACATCAAAACTATGAAATAACACATATGGAATCATGTAGTAACCAAAGAAGTGTTAAACAAATCAAAATAGATGATATATTTGAGATTGTTTCAAATAGCCACCCTTTGCTTTGATGACAGCTTTGCACATTTGGCATTTTCTCAACCAGCTTCATGAGGTAGTCACCTGGAATGCATTTCAATTAACAGGTGTTCCTTCTTAAAAGTTAATTTGTGGAATTTATTTCCTTCTTAATGCATTTGAGCCAATCAGTTGTGTTGTGACAAGGTAGGGGGGTATACAGAAGACAGCCCTATTTGGTAAAATACCAAGTCCGTATTATGGCAAGAACAGCTCAAATAAGCAAAGAGAAATGACAGTCCATCATTACTTTAAGACATGAAGGTCAGTCAATACGGAACAAGTGCAGTCGCAAAAACCATCAAGCGCTATGATGAAACTGGCTCTCATGAGGACCGTCACAGGAATGGAAGACCCAGAGTTACCGCTGCTGCACAGGATACGTTTGTTAGAGTTACCAGCCTCAGAAATTGCAGCCCAAATAAATACTTCAGAGTTCAAGTAACAGACACATCTCAACATCAACTGTTCAGAGGAGACTGTGTGAATCAGGCCTTCATGGTCGAATTGCTGCAAAGAAACCACTGCTAAAGGACACCAATAAGAAGAGACTTGCTTGGGCCAAGAAACATGGGCAATGAACATTAGACCGGTGGAAATGTGTCCTTTGGTCTGGAGTCCAAATTGGAGATTTTTGGTTCCAACCGCCGTGTCTTTGTGAGATGCAGCATGGGTGAACGGATGATCTCCGCATGTGTATTTCCCACCGTAAAGCATGGAGGAAGAGGTGTTATGGTGTGGGGGTGCTTTGCTGGTGACACTGTCTGTGATTTATTTAGAATTCAAGGCACACTTAACCAGAATGGCTACCACAGCATTCTGCAGCGATACGCCATCCCATCTGGTTTGGGCTTAGTGGGACTATAATTTGTTTTTCAACAGGACAATGACCAACACACCTCCAGGCTGTGTAAGGGGTATTTGACCAAGAAGGAGAGTGATGGAGTGCTGCATCAGATTACCTGGCCTCCACAATCCCCCGACCTCAACCCAATTGAGATGGTTTGGGATGAGTCGGACCGCAGAGTGAAGGAAAAGCAGCCAACAAGTGCTCAGCATATGTGGGAACTCCTTCAAGACTGCTGGAAAAGCATTCCAGATGAAGCTGGTTGAGAGAATGTCAAGAGTGTGCAAAGCTGTCATCAAGGCAAAGGGTGGCTATTAGAAGAATCTCAAATATAAAATATATTTTGATTTGTTTAACAATTTTTTGGTTACTACATGATTCCATATGTGTTATTTCATAGTTTTGATGTCTTCACTATTATTCTACAATGTAAAAAATAGTAACAATAAAGAAAAACCTTTGAATGAGTAGGTGTGTCCAAACATTTGACTAGCAGTGTATATCTAAAATTATGTTCTCTAAATAAGCTTTGTTGCACATTATACCTAAGCTAAATATAAGCATTCCACAACCACTAATGATTTAATCAAAATAGTGTATTATAGAAAATTAACACAGGTATCATAAACAATATCTCAAGCATAAGCCCACGTGCTAGTGAGGAGCCAGCTAATCTTTATATTTCAAATTTAGCCAACTTTTATATATTGTCAAGCTAACAAGGTAGAACAGTTTAACTGCTATGAACACACCCTACTGTCCGTCTCCAACTGTTTGAACAGAATGCTAGCCTGTCCACTTTGTTTAGACGTTGAAATCAAGTGGCCTACAAGAACGAGTTACTAATTCCTTATATACATGCATATTTATATGCTCATTGCACATTTATAAAACACAGACTAGACAGCTAACACATAACGGTTTGTGGCTAACATGCTGCTAACAATGCCGCGGGCAGAAACAAATCTCATAAAAATGACAACATTTATATGATATATCGCCCAGCCCTACCATCAACCCACATAGTGAGCAGATAGTGAACACATCCTAGTTAACAGACCATCAGTGATTAGCCTGCTAGCATGAGACAAACATTAGTCGCCTCTCTCCCTGCATGGGAGAGGAGAGAGTTAGTTAACAACATTTCAAACGTCTTTCTCTTTTGAAACTTGTGTGTTTAATGTTAACTGTTAATATGTAATTGCCAAAGCAAGTGAAATAAACAACGTAAACATATGTTTCCCATGCCAATAAAGCCTTTGAATTTAATTGAGAGAGCAAGAGAGTGAGTCAAGTGTAAAGATAGGGTGAGCACAAGAGATAGAAAGGGGACAGATCAGAGAGAAATAGAAGCAAAGATAGACTGTGTGTGGCTGCTGCAGGTGCAGGCCGGGTCCATATAAAGAGAGCTCACATCGCCTGGAGAATGCAGAGTTGTCATTCAGATGCTCTGGTGCTGAGCTGGCCTAGAGCCCAGTCTATCTATGCAAAGAGAGAGCAAGAGAGCGAAGCACGCCTAGTAATTAAGCAAACACTATGTCCGCTCATCTACTACAACATTTCAAAGCATTCATCCCTATCCTATATAGCCTATGACAGAGAAATGCATTTAGCCTATACAATTGAGCAAAGGTCCTGTATGTCTACTGGAACACTCATTCACTGGGGTCAACCGGTTCTCTCAGTCTCAAACACGACTTCTCTCATCTACTACAACATCTTAGAGCATGCATCCCTCTCTCTATATAACAGACAAATGCTGTCATCTCATGGCAGCCCAGTCAGGACAGAATAAATGCTTTTAGGCTACAATCACAGACATCCTGTGTGCCTTTTCTTAGTGCAGTGTTCCACACACTGTAAAGCAGTATTATTTTACAGAATGCAACACTGTAGTTAGATTTGACAATTGCTGCATACAGAGTCAGAGAAGTGATGTCCTCAGTTGAGTCTTGAAACGGCAAAACATCCACTAGCTTGTGACAACAACCTTGAGGTACCTGTCCACAAATGCTTCTTTGTTTTTCTTCGTATTACTGCACAGTTGCTAGAGTGTTGGATAACTTGTCTGTCTGCTCAGGGTGTCATTTCTCAAAAATAAGAAATTATCGACTTTTGAGCACTTTGTTACTGCCAGACTAGCTCTGCTCCACGCGCATGCGGCAAATATAAAAATCCGATGTATGCGAGTACCAGAGCTAATCTGTTGGCATACACCCTGCACTCTAGCAACATCTTTACTTGCTGAGTTGCGAAAGCATATTAATTGTAAAAATATATATTTAAAAAAACAGAACATAGCTAGTAATCAATTATAATCTATTCCTAAACGCAGCAACCTAGCTAGCTAGATAACGTTAACTAGTTTGTTAAACTTAAACTAATGCTTTGGTTTAGCGTTCACGTTAGTTTGCGACTGCACGACAGTCATTATCTCCTGCGATATTTAAAAGCAACAATGTATTTTCTGCCTTTTGAAAGTAAGACGACGAATGAGAACAGACGACGTCTTGTCAACTATGTGTTTGAAAATGATCAAAGGCTGTGTCAACCAACAAAAACGTATTTTATACCAACCCAAACTCCAGGTGAATCGCTATGGGTGCCGCCATATTGTTGTCGTCGGAAGCAGGAAGTTTACGCACCAGCGCCGGAAGTGATGCTGTCCAATGATCTCCTCTTTGAAAAAAAATCTTTAATCAATCCCAAACGCTACACCTCTAATGTTACAGTTATTGTTGCCTATACCAGCATTGTCTATTGAAAATGACTGAAGATGTAAGTCTGAAATACATTTATTTTACTTTGTATTTTCGTTTAGAAAAATATCTGACTAACTGTCTCATAACAACACCATATGCAACAAAATAGGAAAACTCATAGGTTATGTTTTGAGAAAGATGGGTGGTTGAAGTAGTGTTTGAGTGTGTGTGTGTGTGTGTGCCGTGTCAAAGGCGCAACCCCCCTCCCCCTGTCCTCTCTGTCATTGGTGACAGTCCTGTCCCGATATGGGTGGGGGAGCCTGAATTGCAAATCTCCTGCCTTAAATTAGCGTCCAAGGCTGCAGTGGCCTTTTCCAGGCGCCATTCATGTGGTAATGAGAAAGTCCAGGAGTAGAGGCTGGGTGGATGGGTGAGGATGCTGGGGTTGTCGGGTCAGAAAACAAGGGAAACATAGACCGCAGACTGACTGATGTCCAGGGAAAAGGAGATCACAGACTGACTGATGTCCAGGGGAGTGAACAAGACATCCTCTAGGGCTAAACACGCACAATCCTTTTAGGTACCTATAATTATATACAGGCAAGATTTAAATTGGGTTTTTGTAGCCGGTGGAACTGTCCCGGGCCCTCCTCACAACTCAATGCTTCCAATCTTAAAATTGTGAACACCTCATGTAACACTTGGTTTACAGGGCCAGACCAAACTAATTACATATTTGCATCCTAGAGTTTTAACAATATTATAGAGTGACACAGTCATTTTCTACTGGAGAGCAATGGTTCAGACCATGTGTGTCGCGTGTGGCGTGCCTGTGACAGGAGGGGCGGCTACAAGGAGTCCCCATAGATTTAGATAGCTAAGTATTACCATATTAGTATTAACCCATCAGTGTGATGTCACTTCACATTTGCTAGGCTTGCTTGAGTTCTTCCTCAGCTGTCACCACCATCTCGTCATAACACACTCGCACTGATCCCAGACCAGTACATAACCTAGGCCCGTATTCATAAAGCTAATCTAGGATCAGTTTTGCCTTTTAGATTACAATAAATACGATTACATGGACATTGTAACCTGATCCTAGATCAGCACTCCTCTGATACGCTTTATGAATATGGGTCCTGGTTTACCATAACATTGCAAACACACGCTCACGTATCTCAAGCCAACCTCACATATCTCATCAACACACATTTGATCAGATGCGTTTGATGGTGGTGCATTGAACCCACATAGACACAACACAATTGTTGCTGCTATGTAATAAATCAGATGTGATCAATTCTGTGATATACTGCCATGGACATGCAGCTATGTCACACATGGATAGCTGACAATGGAGGACACAATAGATTTGCAGTGAAAAGAGGCAGAGAGGATTAGATTAGCAGTGAATTGGTGAGGTTGGGATGAGTTTGGGGCAAAAAGGAGCCATGGTCTGTTTCAGTGATCACATAAAGAAATAGAAGAATTAACATGTTACATGGATCTTGGAGGTAGGGGATAGCAGTGAGAATGCACTCTGTGTGGCCTATTGTCATTTACACCCCCCATAGTTACTGCTGCGTAGGTTATATAACTAATATGAAAATATATAAACTCCTTTCCTCACTTCCTCAACAGTAAAACACTTGCTAGCTGGCATTTCCTCATGGCCTTTTGTAATAGTTTAACCAGAATAAAACGTATGTTTGAGATTGTTTCTCTGCCTCCCAAGCCTTTGACTCACACAGGCTCACACTGACGTATGAGAGACAGCCTGGCCACATCGTCTTCTTGGCGTGGGGGAGGGGGAGAGACAGTGAGGGCTGCATGGGGGACATCGGCGGCAGTGCCCCTGTCTCTCTTGTCTCGTCCTAACCAGGGCTGAGGGAATGGCTGCGTCATTGTGCCACACAGTGCAACTCAGAGCGCCCCTTCTGTGACTGGCAGTGGCCCACAGCTGCATGGTCTGAGTCTGACGCTGAACTTCTGTGTGCTATACTCTCCTTCCTCCCCCCATCTCTACCACCACCTTACTCTAACACACGCACGCACACACACTGCTCTGCCTGTTCTGTTCACCACCATCTCCACCATCTTGTCCCCGCCCGCCCTGACCATATAGAGTCACGTGACCCTGACGCACCCCCGTTATCTAATACTCATTCCCTGCCCTCAGCCGCAGTGCACATGCTCCATAGCTCAAATACAGGCGAACACACGCACACGCACGTGCACACACACACACACACACACAAACACACACACACACACAAACACACACACACACACACACACACACACACACACACACACACACACACAGGATGGCAGCATAGCCAGACATTTTACAGTTCGCCAGACATTTTAAAATGGAAACTCATCACATCTTCTTTGATGTCAAGTAGTTCTAAGTATCTCACTAGTATGCAACACCTTTTAACTGCACTGATGTCTGTACCCATGAAGCTATCTGAAACACTGTGTACTCAAGTAGCAAGACAAGGATCAATTCAGGGATGATGATGCGACTCTCACTCTGAATCAATGTTAGTGAGGCAGTGCTACCATCTAGCGGTTAGTACCCTGAACACATAGAATATGAGTAAATAGAATCAAGTCATACAAGCGTCATTGACTCAAGCTTTATTTTATTTGAAAAACAAATGAACCATTATGTACAGTACATAAAAAAACATGGGGTCACAGACATGGGAGTTTTTTGTCCTTTTTCTTTACAGGTTCATCATTTCAGAATGACTATTTACAACAGGAAAAAAGCACACATGTAATCTGTACAACATAAGGTGAGACAAACATAATTACATCATCAAATCGTTCCTAAACCAGTAGGCTTTATTAATAATCGAAAAAACACTCAAAAAAGATTCAATTAAAGATTCCGTTTTTTGTATTTTTTGCTGACTGAACAATAGTGCCCTCTACTGGACAGGAGAGGCAATTCGCAATTGGACTTTGGCTCTCCCCTTCTTTATTCTCGCTGGCTGATTGGGGTCGTGTTCATTAGGGCACACTGTAGCAAAATGTTTTGCAACAAAAAAACAAAATTGATAATCTCTCCGCGTTTCAGTAGGTTTTCCTTTGGTGCCTAATGAATACGACCTGGGATGCACTTTCTGGCTGGCTGGCACTTATGCTGCATTCATAACCAAGTGGGAAGGTGGTAATTACCAGTTGTGAAGTCGTATATACCAGTTGGATGCATTCACGTGCTTTGAACTCGTTGAGAAATGCTGATTGGCTAATGGCCAACAACCTGCAACCATAAACTAAAAGTACAGCTATCATGCTTGTAAACAAATTATAGTGTTCAAAACACATATTTATAGATTGCTTTTTATGAATAATGTTTTGTTGTTGCATTTAACTGTCAAAAATGCTGTTATTGAGGTAATTTTCTTAGTAGGTGACGTCAGAGGTCAGCTTGTGGGAGAAGTCGGAGCTCAGGGATGATAGACGAGTTTCCCAGTAGTAAATACCAGTTAGAGGGGTGTTCAAGTGGATTCTTCCCAGTAGTACACAACTCAACTCACATCCTCAGGGGCAGCAGTGTCTACTCTGCTTGTTTTCTATGGGACTCTTAATTAATGTATTAATTTATTAATTAAAGTGATTGCATAGATCTGAGAGTCAGCTCTCTATCTCAGGCCTAAATACATCATGGATTGGAAATCAATCAGCAGACACTGACACTCATCAAACACATCGCAAATAAAATAATCATGATCTTCATTCATAGTGCTTTTGTGTTTCAACGTAACACTGCTTAGGAGTCGGCAGAGGAAAGGTTGCCAGGTATTATTCGATCAAAGGTCAAACATCACAATGTATTTAGTTCCAAGGAAGTTGGCAGATTCCTTTAAGCCCTCATGTTGATGTTGCATTTTACATGGAATTTCAGCAACAATACAATTTAAAGAGAACATTTTATGAATTTGAGTGAGTGAAAATCGCACGATACTACAGTGAATATGTGAAATCAAAACGCTTTTGATGGTTTTAATGTATAATGTCCTTTTCAACACTCTGTCCATATCATATCAAACACGTTATCATACATACAAAGCAAAACACATCATACAGTCACTGAGGGGGTCTGAGGGAGCCTGATCCCACATCTATTTATGTTGTTTTGCAAACTCCTATAGTTTCTTTGGCTGACAATGACCATAGGAGTTGGCAAGAAGACAGCACACACAGGTCTGGGATCAGGCTAGGTCTGAGGGGGCCTCCATTCTGCCCTGAGAACGTTCTGGTCGCTTTCAAACTAAAGCACATTAATTCACACCGGTTAAAACCTGAATCCTATATGGCAAGAGCAGAGGCTCAAACATGTTATGTTACCATGTCAACAAAGTCTTCAAACATGTCAACAATGTCTTCAAACATGTCACCATGTCAACTAAATCTGCCTGTCAGGAATAAAATCACTCAGAAAAATAAAATAAAAATAAAGTTAAAGAAAATAGTAGTCAGTGTTTTTACATGTACAGTGAGGGAAAAAAAAGTATTTGGTCCCCTGCTGATTTTGTACGTTTGCCCACTGACAAAGAAATTATCAGTCTATAATTTTAATGGTAGGTTTATTTGAACAGAATTTGAACAGAATAACAACAACAAAATCCAGAAAAACGCATGTCAAAAATGTTATAAATTGATTTGTATTTTAATGAGGGAAATAAGTATTTGACCCCCTCTCAATCAGAAAGATTTCTGGCTCCCAGGTGTCTTTTATACAGGTAACGAGCTGAGATTAGGAGCACACTCTTAAAGGGAGTGCTCCTAATCTCAGTTTGTTACCTGTATAAAAGACACCTGTCCACAGAAGCAATCAATCAATCAGATTCCAAACTCTCCACCATGGCCAAGACCAAAGAGCTCTCCAAGGATGTCAGGGACAAGGTTGTAGACCTACACAAGGCTGGAATGGGCTACAAGACCATCGCCAATCAGCTTGGTGAGAAGGTGACAACAGTTGGTGCAATTATTCGCAAATGGAAGAAACACAAAATAACTGTCAATCTCCCTCGGCCTGGGGCTCCATGCAAGATCTCACCTCATGGAGTTGCAATGATCATGAGAACGGTGAGGAATCAGCCCAAAACTACACGGGAGGTTCTTGTCAATGATCTAAAGGCAGCTGGGACCATAGTCACCAAGAAAACAATTGGTAACACACTACGCCGTGAAGGACTGAAATCCTGCAGCGCCCGCAAGGTCCCCTTGCTCAAGAAAGCACATATACAGGCCCGTCTGAAGTTTGCCAATGAACATCTGAATGATTCAGAGGAGAACTGGGTGAAAGTGTTGTGGTCAGATGAGACCAAAATCGAGCTCTTTGGCATCAATTCAACTCGCAGTGTTTGGAGGGGGAGGAATGCTGCCTATGACCCCAAGAACACCATCCCCACCGTCAAACATGGAGGTGGAAACATTATGCTTTGGGGGTGTTTTTCTGCTAAGGGGACAGGACAACTTTACCGCATCAAAGGGACGATGGATGGGGCCATGTACCGTCAAATCTTGGGTGAGAACCTCCTTCCCTCAGCCAGGGCATTGAAAATGGGTCGTGGATGGGTATTCCAAGATGACAATGACCCAAAACACACGGCCAAGGCAACAAAGGAGTGGCTCAAGAAGAAGCACATTAAGGTCCTGGAGTGGCCTAGCCAGTCTCCAGACCTTAATCCCAGAGAAAATCTGTGGAGGGAGCTGAAGGTTCGAGTTGCCAAACGTCAGGCTCGAAACCTTAATGACTTGGAGAAGATCTGCAAAGAGGAGTGAGACAAAATCCCTCCTGAGATGTGTGCAAAACTGGTGGCCAACTACAAGAAACGTCTGACCTCTGTGATTGCCAACAAGGGTTTTGCCACCAAGTACTAAGTAATGTTTTGCAGAGGGGTCAAATACTTATTTCCCTCATTAAAATGCAAATCAATTTATAACATTTTTGACATGCGTTTTTCTCGATTTTTTGTTGTTATTCTGTCTCACTGTTCACATAAACCTACCATTAAAATTATAGACTGATCATGCCTTTGTCAGTGGGCAAATGTACAAAATCAGCAGGGGATCAAATACTTTTTCCCCTCACTGTATAACAAATGTGCCTGAAGTACAATAATTCACACAGAGTGCTTTAAGGATATTTCTAATGGTGTGTTTGTGACAAGTGAGGACAAGGCAAAAATGCTCATATGATGTAAATGGGACAGGAGTCATCATGAAACATTAATGACATGTCAGAAATTAGAAGAGGAGAGGGGGGTGGATGCTTCTCAGAAGAGCCTCAATAAGATAACTGCTTCTGAACAGCACACAAACAAAATCCACAGAGAGAAATGCTAAGTATGCCTCAAACAGCTGATATGATGTGGCAACATATATTATTACATGTGTTATGGAGCAGATAAGTGTCTGTCTGTCTGTATGAGCTGTATGAGCACACTGCATGTGTCATCAACAGGGGACCTGATGGACTATGTAATGAATGAATGGCAGCCATGCAGAGAGTCTATACAAGAAGAACAGATTCTAGAACACACAACCTCTCAGTCTAAAGCTGAGGTCAGATGATACAGGTCAGAGGTCATTGAGGGCTCCCGAGTGGCGCAGCGGTCTAAGGCACTGTATCTCAGTGCTTGAGGCGTCACTACAGACCCCCTGGTTCGATTCCAGGCTGTATCACAACTGGCCGTGATTGGGAGTCCCATAGGGCGGCGCACAATTGGCCCAGCATCGTCCGGGTTTGGCCGGTGTAGGCCGTCATTGTAAATAAGAATTTTTTCTTAACTGACTTGCCTAGTTAAAGGTCAAATAAAACAAAGAAAAAATAAATAGAGATGTGAATCTCTATGGTACAGGTGTCCTGAAGTACACACACATTGTGTTAAATATGACTGTCTCTTTAAGTCAGACAGAACACACACACACATTGTGTTTACTATTGCTCTCTGACAGAACAGTGTGTGACAATGAACCGGTAAGTACAGATGTAATAGGAGAGGTAATAATGAAGGCGTTGAAGACAGATCAGAGCTTCATGTGATCAACCAGAGAACAGCTAGATCCAACCTCTCCTGCACTGTTTGACCCTCAGCGCACACCGTACCTGTAGTTCTTTGTAGCTTGCTGATGGGTAGAAGAATACCCCATTTCCCACTCCTCCTCGACCCACTCTGTCTTTCAGCATTTAGGGAGGGAAACATTACAGCCTATTGAAGAGCTCTGAAAAAGCCCTTTGTGCCTTTTTTTGGGATATACAGTGAGATGCTCCTTCTCGCCTCCCGTCTTCTCTAAGTCCACTCTTTTGTCCCTGTTAGCGGCCTCATCCCCTCTTATTCACTTTGGACATCCACATCAAGGTGCCTTGCAGTATGGGGAGGCAGGTTGTACCACTGTGAGCGCAGTGCTGTGTATAGGGGTGTTCAGTGAGATGGGTGCTATAGTTCGCTGTGGCGTACAGGAGGCTCCAGCTTGTGAGACAGAGCGGTCAGGACTTTGTCGAACTTCTCATAGCGTTCTGATTGGCTGCCCTCCGAACCCCTGCTTCCCCATAGCAACCTCATCTGGAACTCTGTCCGGAAGATCTCCAGAACCTCCTCTCTCTCCTGGAAGCCTGGTGGAGGAGACGAGGAGGAGGAGAGGAGAGGAGAGGAGAGGAGAGGAGAGGAGAGGAGAGGAGAGGAGAGGAGAGGAGAGGAGAGGAGAGGAGAGGAGAGGAGAGGAGAGGAGAGGAGAGGAGAGGAGAGGAGACAGAACAAAACAGAACATACGAGAGAAGATAAAAGAAGAGAAGAGAGATCAATATTAAAGACATTGTGGAAAACACAGGCTAGTTAAGGTAGCTATTGACATCCTGCTCAAAACACCAGTCATCGGCATGGACTGGAATCAATAAGAACAAATGATCAATGTAAACATACTGTAACCATCACCACCACAGGTGTACACAACACAACACCTCAATCATTATTTCAGATCAATGACAATGAAGCATAACATACATCATATTGAACACACCCACACCGTCAGATATTATGATGCCTCAGCATCAAGGACCAACATAACAACTTGAGATGTAACGCAATACTACAGTTATTACTCAGTCAAATAAATCAATGCACACCAGACACTACTCAGACAAGGCCTTAGTGGTTAGTCCATAATAATATGTCAATAAAACTGACACAGCACTCTACTCTATAATACTATTATATACTCCATGGACAGTTTCCTGGACCTGGATTAAGCCTAATCCTATCACTAGACTAAAAAGCACTTCTGATGGAGATTGATGAGTCTGTGATTCTCGAATGATGAATGAGCAGTGGCGATTTTAGAATGTAAATCTTGGTGGGGCAAACTCCCCAAAAATGTTTGGATGCATGCCGGTAAAGCCACTACACAATTGCACTATAACGGTGACAAACGGTGCCCACAAACTGTTAGGGCCTACATAAAGCTGTCCCAACAGCAGAGTTTTCTTTTCAGCACCATGTAGTGAATCCTTACCACTGCTACATATGGCTATCAGCAGATCCTTGTCTGGCAGCGAAACAGTTCATTCAGCCTCATTTACTGCCTTTTAAAAAAACATAGCTGATACGGCTGACTTGCTTAAACAAATGTGGTTTCTACTGACAATTGAGATGTACAAACTATGGGGGACGATGAGCGGATAAGAGGCAATCCGTAATTTCGATTAAGACATTAAGGAGCGAGCTAAGATGGACATAGTCAATATAACTATTTGTTCAGCATGTTTTAAATGTACAGCGACAGAATTCAGAACATGGGCCGTTCTTACAGTATTCTCCCTGTACACCAAGTCAGAACCGTAGGATAAATAAAGGGGTCATATAACCAGACAATGAAAACTCTTACAATATTCTATGATGACATTCCTCTAAAACAGGCTATAGGCTACATGTGCACCATCAAGTCAGAACAGTAGGCTAAGTTATGAGGGGGAAAGGGACCAAATTATTAGGGTGAGGCACATGGGCTACTAACAGCTTACTACACAACATACACTTAGTATTACTTTCTTAGCGACAGTATACACATCTCCCTAGCATATTACATCATTTCTGCAGCAGCATACAATACATTTTTGGACTCACAGTTGTGCTGTGCTCACTTGAACAGGAAGGTGGCGCAGCGGCCCTTCTTGTGGGGAAATTTTGTGATGAAACTTTGTTATCAAAGTCTGGCATTCTCTGGATTGATGGTGCTTTCAACACAACTGGGAACTCTGAAAAAAACATGGTCGAATCATGACGTCAGGGATCTTCAGGTCGGAGCTCTAGAAAGAAGCCAGAGTTCCCGACTTGAAATTCCGAGTTGGATGACCCTTCAAAATGTATTTCCTGAGTTCCCAGTTGTCTTGAACTCACTGGTCTGAGATTTCCCAGTTCCAAGTTTCCAATTGTTTTGAACGTGGCAGAAGTCATGCTGGCTTGACAGCATGGCCGATGTATTCAACCTTTTCTGGCCCATGGTGTTGGGTGTGAATGTTTATCCTTTTAAGCTTGGAAAAGAGACCCTTAAACACAGACTTGGACCACATACCGTCTCCACTGAATAGCAGGCAGGGGAAGCAAAATAGGGATTGCTTTGCAACGCTTGCAGTTAGCCACTGATTCCTTCCAAACCACTCATTGTTGAATTTGCGATTTCCAAATTGTTGTGTAATGTTTATGACCAATGGCCGATGAGCACCGATATGTTTTATCTATAATTTCTCTTCATATGACAAGGATTGAAAAGGATTTGCCAGTAGATTGTCGACGTGATTCATGATGATGACTGCTTGTCTAGCTTGCCAGCTAAGATTTTGAAAGTATGATGTCGACATGATCAGTCCAATCAAAGCTACGGTAGATATAACATGATTTGACGTCATTCTATCTGTGGCCAATGACATTGAGCCTTCTTGGATGGGCACATCTAATGTAAATCTATGGCAGCACCCAAGGGGGCTTGAACTTCCAAGCTGTCAGATTTTGCGGTGACGTAGTGTCCCCATGAGTGACAGAACACTGAGCCAATCACGGCGCAACTAGAGAAGATTAACAACCCCTCCGCTCTGTATTTTCCGCTGGCTGCCCCTTCACCACAGAAAGCATTGATCTAGGGTGAAACACCTGCATTTTGGAGCTGCCTTACTCAAGAAAGCAAAAAAGAGAACATGTTTGTATGCGGCTCTGCCCCACCTGCCCTGAATGACGGGTCGCCACTGTGAATGAGATTCTCTTAGCTTCAGACAGTGACCTGGGTCCGGGAAACTGGCCTTGTGTGTGCAAGTCAAACACACACACCAGTGACACCACACACACACCAGTGACACCACACACACAGAGAGACACAGACACACACACCGAACCCTTACCTTGTAGTTTGGTCTCAGCGTTGGTGCGGTACAGCCCCCCGTGGTGAGCGATGGTCCGGGCCGCCTCCAGGTGTGACATCACGACATCAACGCCCGCCTCCACATTCTCCCAGGGTTCTATCCCCGCCCCTGGCCCCTCCCCCACGGCCACACCCCTCTCCAGCAGAGACAGCAGACAAACCACGTGAGGGAAGGATGTGTTGGACAGCACACTGCTCTCTTAAATATACACAGAGGACACACAGATACAGAGAGTTAGAAACACTGGTCACTGAAATACTATATAACATATAGTAGACAGGTAGAGAGACACTCAGATAGAAGAGTCTATCTTGAGACTTTTCAATAATGATTCATCTTTTCATTCCTTCACCGTGAGATATACATCATGCTTTGTGCGCTGTGCTCTCCTGTGACAGAGTGCCTTATAAAAGTGCTATCTGAGCCACCAGCTCCATACCTTTGCCATCGTTCATGTTCTTCATGAAGGGCTTGAGCTTCTTCTCATAGAGGATGGCTCCCTCTGTATGTCTCTGACGCAACGTCATCCATGTCTGCTCCAGGCGAGAAATCTGACAGAGAGATAGAACAGCATGAGTAATGCCAATTAAAAGATAATTATGATGTGTGTGTGTGTGTGTGTGTGTGTGTGTGTGTGTGTGTGTGTGTGTGTGCTGTATGTCCATATACCTGTGGCAGCTCCAGTGCTCTCATCACAGCAGCAAAGCCGAACATGTTCCCCAGGTTGCTCTTGAGTTCTGCAGCCAGCTGGATGGTCTTATGGAGCAGAGCAGCCCTCTCCTCCGTACTGCCTGTACACCCCAGCAGGTCCACAGCCATCATTATAGACATAGTGTAGAACCTGGGGAGGACAGGGGGAGGGGGGGGGGGGGGGGCAGGATGGTAGATGAAGGAAGCGAGAGATGTTGAGAAAGGTAGATGAGGACACAGTCTTGGTTGAGGAGCAGAACTGACTTCTAATGACGAGAGTTAACTCGTCCCCAGGCTAATTGCGACATAGAAAGAGTCGTCTGGTGGACGAGACTATGACGGGAGGGACGTTTCATTTTCACAACGTATACTCTCTGGCTGTTTTATGTCCAGCATTGAACTGAACCCTTACCTCTCCATCAGGTCCAGTCTCAGCTAACCCTAACCCTAGCTTCATGTCCACATCCCAGTTCAACCCTCGCCGCAACCACAACCTACTATATATTATTATTAACCCTTACCTCTCCAGTAGGTTCAGTCTCAGCTAACCAACAATAGCTTAATGTCAAAATCCCAGTTAAACACTCGCGCAACCACAACCCACATATTAATTATAGAACACTTACCTCTCCATCAGGTCCAGTCCAGCTAACCCTACACTAGCTTCATGGTACATCCAGTCAACCCTCGCCGCAACCACAACCACATATTTAGTATTATTCACCCTTACCTCTCCATCAGGTCCAGTCTCAGCTAACCCTAACCCTAGCTTCATGTCCACATCCCAGTTCAACCCTCGCCGCAACCACAACCCTACATATTATATTATTATTAACCCTTACCTCTCCAGTAGGTCCAGTCTCAGCTAACCCTAACCCTAGCTTCATGTCCACATCCCAGTTCAACCCTCGCCGCAACCACAACCCTACATATTATATTATTATTAACCCTTACCTCTCCAGTAGGTCCAGTCTCAGCTAACCCTAACCCTAGCTTCATGTCCACATCCCAGTTCAACCCTCGCCGCAACCACAACCCTACATATTATATTATTATTAACCCTTACCTCTCCAGTAGGTCCAGTCTCAGCTGATGTCCGTGAGGTAGAGTCAAAAGCTCCAGTCCTGAACCTACTCCCATCATCCTCTGCATCTCCTTGGTAACGCCCAGTATCCTAGCAACCTGCAGACAGACAGAAGGAGGAAGCACAACATAGAGGGAAGGAGTGAGTGAAGGAAGCAGAGAGGGAGGGAAGGAGAGGGGAGGGGAGGAGAGAGGAGAGAGAAGAGGGAGAGAGAGGAGATAGGAAGGGAGTGGGAGAGGAATGTTTTATTGTAATTTCTATCTTAATGTATTCATGGTCACTGAGACGGGTGGTTAATTGGCTCTTAATTCAAATCTTATCAAATAATGAGTGGAGTAAATAGTGCTGAGGATAGCATAGTCATCCCTGTATTAACCTCAGGTTGCTCTCTGCTGCTCTACCATTAAGAGGAGTTAATTGAGCAACACTCTGTGACAGAGTAGAGTGGCTGACAGTAGGGGATTAGTGACATTACTGAGTTACGTTCAGAGGTCCAAGGTACACAATGCCAGAATACTGCCCTTATAACCCTATTCAGAGTCCTATGGGTGTGTGTCCATACTGTATGCATGCGTGTCCATACCGTGCAGTCAGCCATGGTGATGTGTTTAGCAGCCGTCCTAGCGTCCACCTCAGCCAACAACTCCTTGACTCTCTTCAGTATGCTCATCTCTAAGGGCTTGTTCTCCTGGGGGATCAGGGGTGACAGGTACTTCCCTGGTCTGAAGGAGGAGGCAGTCTCCACCAGGGGGGCGCTGAACGCCTCTCCCCCAGCCCCTGCACCGTCCTCCCTCCCTGGGGCAGGCCCTCGGCCCTCCTCCACACGCAGCCGCTCCACGTAGCTCTTAGCTGGAGGTGTGGGGGGCACGCCGGCAGCACATGGAGCCCCAGGACATGGGGCCGGGGAGGGCCTGAGGTCGCAGTAGCTTCCCTCTGTTTCAGAGCCCCCTGCTGGGGCTGGGTAGGAGCAGTGGGCCGGGGTGGAGTGGGAGCTGGCGGCTAGCATGTCAGGTAGGTTGTTGTTGGAGCCAGGGCTGAGCTGGGGGTCGCTGGAGCGTCTCAGGACTGGGGAGGGGGGCACCACGGCCAGAACTCTACCCCCTGACTGGGTTCTGTGTCTGTGGACTGGGGAGATAAGCGGGGGGTTACAAACATGTATTTTATATTCAATACGTGGGTTAAATTAGTAATGTTTTTTTTAGCTGTGCTTGATTGAGCTTGCCTGGGGCAATGGAACTAATGGAATAGTCTCAAAAGTACAAACCCCAACCCTACCCATCTTACACTGTAGACAGGCAGGCTCAATCAAACGCACCACATCACCACGTTATAAAATAATCTGCATCTCCATGACATTAACACTCACTGTGGCTGTATGCTGGGGAGAGAGGTGTTTCTCCTACAGGAGACAGGGGACAGCGGTACTCCTGGATCTGATCCATACTCATGGCACAGTTCCTCATCGCATCCTTGTGGTTGTGAATAGTAGAAGGGCTGCAAACACAAACCAACACAGTCATTTTCGATTGGTTTTTATATGGCTGGGTTCCCATGAACAGCGTGAGAGTTGTCATATGATTATTTTGATTTGATTAATGCTCCAAAAGTCTATATTTTAACTTAAGTGCCAGGTATACATTTTGCACTATTGGTCTACTAATAAGAGGTGAAACACAGGTCAACCTTATCCTTGTCCAAGATCTGTTTGGTGGGGCGGCAGGTAGCTTAGTGGTTAAGAGCGTTGTGCCAGTAACCGAAAGGTCGCTGGTTCTAATCCCTGAGCCGACTAGGTGAAAAATCTGTTGATGTGCCCTTGAGTAAGGCACTTAACCCTAATTGCTCATGTAAGTCGCTCTGGATAAGAGCGTCTGCTAAATGACTAAAATGTAAAATGTAAATGTTTGCACTGCATGGCCAATTCATATGGTCACTGTCATGTCATGTTTGCATGACAATTAAAAAAAACAATTTTTAGTCATTTAGCAGACGCTCTTATCCAGAGCGACTTACAGTTAGTGAGTGCATACATTATTATTATTTTAATTTTTTTCATACCCCCCGTGGGAATCGAACCCACAACCCTGGCATTGCAAACGCCATGCTTTACTAACTGAGCTACATCCCTGCCGGCCATTCCCTCCCCTACCCTGGACGAATTGTGCGCCGCCCCATGGGTCTCCCAGTCGCGGCCGGCTACGACAGAGCCTGGATTCGAACCAGGATCTCTAGTGGCACAGCTAGTGCCTTAGACCACTGCGCCACTCGGGAGGCCAACTTGTATGGACAATGACCATACAAGTTGACAAGACCGCACAAACAGATCTGTGGCCAGGCTAAGCTTGACCTCTCAGCTTGACCTCGGGTTGCTGTGCAGAGGAAGAGGAAACAGACAGTCATGCATTATAAGGATGTGCAGACAGTTCAGTGTCAGAGTGACTTGGGTAGCAACTAGCTTAGTATGGAGCCATATTGTACAGAGTCTAAAGTATGGCTCTGATCTAACATGCTCTCAGTGAATCAGAGGTAGGGGGTGAGAGTGGGAAGGGGTCTGTCATAACACCGGTGTTCTGACCCAAATGGGCTTACACACACCACCTGCACCCCACGAAAGCAGCCTTCACTTCTGGCTTTGGTGTAGCTACTGGTTCTGGGAGAACTGGTGGTTCCACTGGACAGATCGACTCCACATCACTGACCGCACAATGGGAATGAATGGGCAATGAAACATCTGCTTTACACCACTGAGAGACACACACACACACACACACACACACACACACACACACACACTGAACAAGAATGTAGAGAAGAAGAGGAGAGTGTAATAATGATACTATGTCAGTCCATCTCTCCTCTCTCACCTGTGAGGTATCAGCTTCTCCGTGGTCAATCCGTCGTTCATGGTTACGCTCCGCCTCTTGATGTACGCTCCTCTCTGACTGGACGGTGAGTGGGCCAGGCCGTGCCTGCTATTGGCTAAGGCAAACGTGGCCTCCAAGTAGCGCAGGGGTAGGGTGCGTATGATTGGACAGTAGATCTGGGCTCCACTGGGCTGGGAGATAGGCTGCCGCCCGGCCACGTAGAACCTCACCAGTTCAGGTATGGAGTCGAAGCTGTCCTTCTCTAACAGGTACTGGACCTTAAGATAAAATAAGAAATACTCTCTTGTCAAATCATTGCAACACAGTCACAAAGACAAAAAACGACGATCAACAATATAAGTAGTAAAATCAAATAGCAGTACAAAACAGCAACAGTCGACGGTTCATACACAACAATCAGATCATCAATAGATCATAAAAATATAAAAATAGTTCATCTGTAGTCATCTTACTCACTAGACTTGTCACTAAATCTTTAAGGCCCAGTGCAGTCAAAAACATAATTTTCCTGTGTTTTATATATATATCCACATTATGAGGTTGGAATAAAAATGTGAAATTGTGAAATTATGATAATGCCCTTTTAGTGTAAGACCGCCTGAAATTTCAACCTGTTTTGGTGGGATGGAGTTTTGGCCTGCCTGGTGACATCACCAGGCGGTATAAGAGTTAATAGACCAGTAAAAAAGACAGTTCCAAACCTCTCTGTCAATAACAGCTAGTTTTCCCCTCCCCACTCAGTGCACTTCCAGACAGTCCTAACTAAATTCTTGCTTGAGAAATTGCTCTTTGCTAAGAAGCTATTTTTGTTTCTTTTTGACCATATTAATTGAAAACAATCACACTAAGGTACTTAATTGTTACCCAGAAATAAATTGATATTGACATAAAAACAGTTGCATTGGACCTTTACGTCTGTTAAAATGTTTCATAAAATGTATATTTGTCTTCAGCTCGTGGTTAAAACCTTAAAATTACAAACAAACATAGATCAAACAACCTGATAGAAATGAAAGAAGTTACCAGACCTGGGTTTAAATACATGTGTATTTGAGTATTTGTTATTTAAAATAGTATTTTCAAATACACAGCCCCAAACAATTACCTTTATTTGAGTATTTGAACGGTTATTTGTAAAAAATATATATATATACACACTACTGGTCAAAAGTTTTAGAACACCTCAATTTTTCCAGTTTTTATTGAAATTCACACAGTTTAATGTCTTAATGTACTCTGAAATTAAAGCATAGAACAAATAAACAATTGGAGACAAAAAATAAATCATGGAATCGTTTTGTTTAACAAAATGTAATCTACATTTTTGACTCATCAAAGTAGCTACCTTTTGCAGACATAACAGCCGAACACACTCGTGGCATTCTTTCTACAATGGAAATCAAATATTGTTCGGAAAGTTCTTCCCAACACTGTTGCAGAAGTTCCCACAAATGTGTTGCACTTGTAGGTTGCTTTGCTTTCACCATTCTGCCCAGTTCATCCCAAACCAGCTGGATGGGGTTTATGTCTGGAGACTGTGCTGGCCATTCCATGATTTGAAGCCTACCGTCTTGTTATTTTCTTCTAAGGTAGTTCTGAGTTCTGTGTTTTGGGTCATTATCTGGCTGTAGGATGAACCCCTTACCGACTAGGCGTACACTAGATGGTATTGCATGGCGCTGCAAAATGCTGTGGTAGCCGTTTTGGTTCAGGGTGCCACTCACTCTGTGCAAGTCGCTGACTATGGATCCAGCAAAAGAGCCCCAGACCATCACGCTTCCTCCTCCATGTTTGACAGTTGGCGTCACACACTGAGGAACCATCCTTTCGCCTACTCGACAGCATACAAAAACCCTGCGTGATGAACCGAAGATTTCATATTTTTATTCATCGGTCCATAATACCTTCTTTCAGTCTTCAGTAGTCCACTGGCAGTGCGTCATGGTCCAGGCAAGCCTCTTTTTCTTATTTTGCCATCTTAGCAATGGTTTCTTACTGCCGCTCGACCTGTCCAACCTGCAGCTCGAAGTCTTCTCTTCACAGTTGAAACTGAGACTTGCTTACTTCGACCAGTGTTAATCTGTGCTTGAAGCTGTTGTTCTGTGAGCCGCCTATCACGCAAGCTGTTGACTCTGAGAAACTTGTCTTCTGATTCTGTTTTGGCTTTGGGTCTGCCAGACCTATTCCTGTCAGAGTTTCCTCCAGTTTCCAAGTGCCTTTTGATGGTGTAGGAAATTGTACTCGCTGACACCTTGGCTTTCTTTGCAATTTCTCTAAAGGAAAGACCTACACTTTTAAGGGTTATAATGGTCTGTCTGTCTTCCTTTGTTAATTGCCTTTTTCTCGCCATTTTGATTACAATATACTACTTCCTGCAGTACAATACTGTCCAAATAATGCTTAAGAGGGTGTATTAACACAGTCTGTTCCAACACTGCTTTTATAAAGACAGAGGGTTTGTAAGTAATCAACAAAAGTTGGGACACCTGTAGGAATTGTTAGCATCAACTTTCAAGGCTTAATTTACTTCCATTGCTGCAGAACAGCTGTAAATTGTTAACCCATTTCTTATTCCCTGAAAAATGCATTATTTTTCTGTTTTTGGTCAACTACATATATATATATTTTGCCTCTGGCAGTTTACCGCTTACATTTGTACCATTTCAGGTTACTCACTGGACTTGAACTGCTTAGATTACAATAAAAACTGGAAAAATGGGGGTGTTCTAAAAATTTTGACCGGTAGTGTACACCGTACCAGTCAAAAGTTTGGACACACCTACTCATTCAAGGGTTTTTATTTTGTTTTTTTGTAGAATAATAGTGAAGACATCAGAACTATGAAATAACACATATGGAATCATGTAGTAACCAAAAAAGTGTTAAACAAATCAAAATATATTTTATATTTGAGATTCTTCAAAGTAGCCACCCTTTGCCTTGATGACAGCTTTGCACACTCTTTGCATTCTCTCAACCAGCTTCATGAGGTAGTCACCTGGAATGCATTTCAATTAGCAGGTGTGCCTTGTTAAAACTTAATGCGTTTGAGACAATCAGTTGTGTTGTGACAAGGTAGGTACACAGAACTGCCCTACCAAGCATAAAGGCAGTAACTGCTCATAGTGTGGAACTGAGAAAAATGGCTTCAAAGTTTTTTTAATTGTCCAGCCAAATGAATTCTAGGGAGATCATTGGAGATGTAGTGATCTGTTGTCTTACTATGAGTTCATTTTTTATTCATGTTGACCCTGACTTCTGACATTACCTTTGACCCTTAAACGGCAGTAACTGCCTTCTTCCTTGGCATGATATGTTACAAATTGCAGGGTAATACCAAAGCAAAGAGCAGTATCTGCCATTTTCATTTGTTCGTTTACTATACTTCTCATTTATGCTATTAATAAAAGAGCAGTGTAATTACTGACAGTGTAACAGAGTTGAAACTGCATCCTTTGTGTGTCTTCCACTAAGATACCAGTTGCATTTACATGGAGATGTAGGTTCTGCATCAGTCCATGTCTTGTTATAAGAATAAATGTGAAAAGCAGCACTGCAATTGTTTGAGTTACATTAAATGATTACCCATCTTGTAATATATAATGATGTATTGGAACATGATAGAAGTATGACGTAGGGTAACACTAATTATAATAAATTACCATTTCAATAACTTTGAACGTTTCTTCAAGTGCAGTCGCAAAAACCATTAAGCGCTATGATGAAACTGGCTCTCATGAGGACCGCCACAGGAAAGGAAGACCCAGAGTTACCTCTGCCGCAGAGGATAAATTCATTAGAGTTACCAGCCTCAGATATTGCAGCCCAAATAAAAGCTTAACACAGTTCAAGTAACAGACACATCGCAACATCAACTGTTCAGAGGAGACTGCGTGAATCAGGCCTTCATGGTCGAATTGCTGCAAAGAAACCACTGCTAAAGGACACCAATAAGAAGAAGAGACTTGCTTGAGCCAAGAAAGACGAGCAATGGACATTAGACCGGTGGAAATCTGTCCATTGGTCTGATGAGTCCAAATTTGAGATTTTTGGTTCCAACCACGGAAGGTGAACGGATGATCTCCACATGTGTGGTTCCCTCTGTGAAGCATTGTGGAGTAGGTGTGATGGTGTGGGGGTGCTTTGCTGGTGACACTGTCAGTGATTTATTTAGAATTCAAGGCACACTTAACCAGCATGGCTACCACAGCATTCTGCAGTGATACGCCTTCCATCTGGTTTGCGCTTAGTGGGACTATCATTTGTTTTTCAACAGGACAATGACCCAACACACCTCCAGGCTGTGTAAGGGCTATTTGACCCAGAAGGAGAGTGATGGAGTGCTGCATCAGATGACCTGGCCTCCACAATCACCCGACCTCAAGCCAATTGAGATGGTTTGGGATGAGTTGGACCGCAGAGTGAAGGAAAAGTAGCCAACAAGTGCTCAGCATATGTGGGAACTCCTTCAAGACTGTTGGAAAAGCATTCCAGGTGAAGCTGGTTGAGAGAATGCCAAGAGTGTGCAAAGCTGTCATCAAGGCAAAGGGTGGCTACTTTGAAGAATCTCAAATATAAAATATATTTTGATTTGTTTAACACTTTTTTGGTTACTACATGATTCCATATGTGTTATTTCGTAGTTTTGATGTCTCCGCTATTATTCTACAATGTAGAAAATAGTAATAAATAAAGAAAAACCCTTGAATGAGTAGGTGTGTCCAAGCTTTTGACTGGTAGTGTATATTGTCTACCAAATAGTTTTGAAAGTATTTTCTAATACATTCCTGGAATACTATTTGAAACAATTTTCAAATATTTTCTTCCCAAACATTTCAAATACCCTCAAATACTGCTCTAAAATGTTTATATGGCTTTAAATATGCAGATAACCTCAACAAAGCCATTTCCAAAGCCTCCAAGAATCTGTCCCACTACTGCAAGTCAACATTTGCACAGGATCTCTTTGAAGGGAAGAATTGTCTGCAACCAGCCACTGTCACAAAGTGGAACTCTCAACTGAAAATTATTTCTCGATGCGGGTGAAGAAAAGCATAACACACTGCCTGTCACCAAGCTATCCATGCACAAGAAGTATGTCAGTGCTGATGCTGTGGACATCCTAACCCCCTTTGAGGTTGCCACAGATTGTGTGCAAGGATCTGACATCATCATAGCCAGCTACATCATTCCATGCATCAGAGGACTGACTAAACATCTCACCAATTGCTCTACCAGGTACAATGGAAAGCTTGTCAAAAACCTGAAAGAAGCAGTTGAGAAGCGCCTGACTGTTTATGAGCAGAAGAAGCCATACCAGATTGCCTCAGTCTTGGATCCACGCTTTAAACTGGCATGGTGCAATGCCACTGAGAAGGCTGCCCTTAGTGCAGATCTGGACACAAAGTTCACCAGCACAACACAGGATGTCCCACACAGTGAGCCCCCACCACCAACAAAGTTGATTGGACACACTGTTCGGTTGCATGGAAAAACCAAGCGTGGCTGCATGTACTCCAAAGGATCGAGAAATTGATGATTACCTCATCACCCCATATCTTCCACCAAGCTTTATCCTCTGAAATTCTGGAAGACACACAGTCAAACATACCAAACACTGAGTGGAGTTTACTGCTGTACCTACATGTCCCAGCATCCTCTGCAGCTGTGGCGCTGCTTTTCAGCATTGGAGGGCGTATCTTCAGACCAGATTGCTACTCAATGTCTGACGAGCTTTTTGAAACTCAGATGTTTTTTAAATGTAACATTGCATCTTGCCCTCTTTCATGCGACACCAATGTAAAGTATGGGCTCCCGAGTGGCGCAGCGGTCTAAGGCACTGCATCTCAGTGCTTGAGGCGTCACTACAGACCCCCTGGATCGATTCCAGGCTGTATCACAACCAGCCGCGATTGGGAGTCCCATAGGGCGGCTCACAATTGGCCCAGCGTCGTCCGGGTTTGGCCGGTGTAGGCCATCATTGTAAATAAGAATTTGTTCTTAATTGACTTGCCTAGTTAAATAAAGATAAAATAAAAATGGGCTGCATATTGTGATTAAACAGTGAAACAAGACCTATTTATGTTAAGTTGTTTGTTATTTCAAATAAAATTACTACGTACATTCACAATTATTTTCAAAGATTTATTAGAAAATACTCTGTCAAATACTTCCAATGATATGTATTTGAAGTAATTGTAAATACATGGCAATACTTTCCAAATAGTATTACTACTTGTTTTTTCAAATAAATATTATTTAAATACTTATTTTGAAATGTATTGAAAAGTAATTGAAATACCTGAAATAGTATTCGAACCCAGGTCCGCAAGTTACAATACATACCTTAGACTCAGTGCTGGACTTGACCAGGACCTTGGTGATCTTAAAATGCAGAACCTCGTGGTTCCAGCGAGTCGTTAGGACGTAGTCGCCCATGTTAATCAGCGAATCACGGATCAGGAAATCACCGTTCTGCAGGACTACAGTCTCTGATAGCTGGAGGTTGACAGAACGGAATTAGGAGGGTTATTTCATAACATGATTAAAAGTTATTATAACATTGTTAGATTGTTATGAGGTACCCTTTATACTGTATGTCTGAAAAGAACTGTACACAAAGTGGCTCTAAGTCAATGTTTAGCACACATCTAGTGTGGAAATATAGCTTACACAACTAATATTTCCTGTGAGAACTGTTATGAAGAGGCATGATATAATAGGGGACATAGTGAGGAATACACCATGTCTAAAGGTGTAATTCCATAGAAAAGCCTTTCTTCATATGGCCAGCAGGGGGAGCTGTTACTACAGGCCAGACCACCACAATCACCAGCAGCAGCAGCAGCAGCAGGGACAGACAGACACAGACAGGGCTGCTGCTGCTTGCAGCTGGCTGCGTGAGAGCCCATCACCATGGAGACAGTGTATTGTTTTAGCAGTGAGGGTGAGCCACGGGTTCCCCCTGTTCTGTCTGTTTACTCCAGTGTGAATGTAGCATTATGTTAATGTACTGAAGCATCACATAGGGAGGGAGGGAGCCTCCCAGATGGTTCAACTCACACTACAGAGAGAGAGAGAGAGAGAGAGAGGGAGGAGTGTGGATGGGTGTCAGGAGGACTGTGGGGCCACACCGGTGTGTGTGTGTGTGTGTGTGTGGAACATTTGACAAGTCAATAAATACTACAGTGGAAGGTTATAAGGCGGCAAAAAAACGAAAGTATGAGACTTTTATTGTGCATTAAACGTCACTAACTAAGAAGACAACAGTATGCATGTAGATAACCACTCTTTCTTTGTGTGTGTGTGCACACTTGCTTTAAGTGTGCAAATGTGTGTGTAGTCTGTATGTGTGTGTACCTCTCGAGGGATGTGTCCATGGTACCAGCCATGGCTCCTGATATCGCTGCTGCAGAGTTTCAGCTCCTCCTCCAGTTCCTTGCGTAGTTTCTCTGGTGGAGACTCCAGCAGGTACTTCTCCTTGGAGAACTAGAGGGAACAGGAAACACACACCTGTGAGACAGACGCTCATACCTCAGGCTAGCAGGACAGCAGTGATGCCAGTTAAACTGGTACTATTCATTACACACACATACACACACACATGCACGCAACACACACACACACACATGCGCAGGAACGTATGAAAGTATGCGCGCACACACACACAAACACAGTACAATGCAGTACATGGAATCCAACACTCATTAACCTGATTTAAAAGAAGTCCTTTCTAACTAAAACCCTTTCTTACGTGTGTGTGTGTGTGTGTGTGTGTGTGTGTGTAGGCTTACAGTATTTTGGCAGTCTATACATTTCTGTTATATAGTAATCTATGACCTAACTTCCTCCACTCCTATGCACAGGAACACAGCACAGCATAATGCACCACAGTCCCACCAACAACCAGTTACACAATCAGAATGCAAGACTTTACAGTAATACACATTCTACACATACTGTTCTAAAGTTCTGTTAAAACCACAATGACGACAAGGACATTTACGTTTGAGTCCAGATCTATGAGGAAATGTGTGGCCAGGGAGGACAGAGCGAGAGAGGGACAGAGAGAGAGAGGAACTGAAAGAGAGAAGGAGAGAGAGATGAGAGAGAGGGGAGAGAGAGAGAGAGAGAGAGAGAGAGAGAGAGAGAGAGAGAGAGAGAGAGAGAGAGAGGGGAGAGATAGAGAGAGACAGAGAGAGGAGTAAACACACTGACAGCATCTCTACACTGCCAGTAGAGGCACAACCACCAAAACAAACAATAACAACACTGTCTCTATGGTCACAGGGATGAGATGCTAGATGGAAAGATATTACGTTATCTAACACCCACTGGGAGTAAACATTATCGAAGTACACTTCTACAGATGTAGGATCTTAATTTGATCACTCTTTTGTTACTGAGAATATTCCTGAAAAGCAGGAAATAGTAGTGTATTTGAGTTTTTCAAATGCTTCTAACGTTTGTAATTTCCACTTTGAAATTTCAGACTTTATTTGCCCTAACAAAAAATGTATCAACCCCTACAAAAATGTCCATTAATTATAATCCACATAAAAATGCACATTTCCTGTTGCTGCAGGATTATTTACCTGCTGTAGAAAACTGGCTCAAATGAAGATCCTACATCTGTACTATACAAACTAGAGCGAGACTATCACTAAAAGTACTGTATCTCTTCGTGTGTGTGTGTGTGTGTCCAGCCATCCATCAGTGAAGCTGTCTATCTGTCTGTATGAGTGAGAGAAAGAGATGAGGGGGTTCCAGAAGGAAGACAATCAATACCATATCGCCCCGGGTCACTGTATGCTTCTGGTCTCTCCCCCCTTTCTCTCCTCTTCTCTGAGATAAGTTGATTAAACCCCCACTTTCTACTTCACCTCCTCCTCCTGCTCCTCTCTTCCGCCTCTCCTCCTCTAGGGAAGGATGGAGGGATGGAAGAGGGCATGAAAACCGCAGCAGTTTCCACTCAGATTAGATTTGACGGCACGTTTGTGAAGTGAAGTTGGCGTGAAGTGTGTGTCTGTGTGAAAGGGATTCTGGGCAATAAAAGAGCAGCAGGGTCAAGTGTGGAGTTATTGCTTTTCCTCGTCTCCGTGGTGACCCAGGAGAGACTAGCCCTGCTGCTGCTGAGCTGACGGACCATCCTGTAATTGGGTTTTACAGTAGACACACAGTGTATGTGTGTGTGTGTGTGTGTGTCTATGTGTCTGTGTGTGTGAGTAGGTGGAGGGTTAGATTGGAATTGCAGGGCTCTCTATGATATGACTGAGACCAGAAAGAGAGACAGACAGACAGAGAGTGACAGAGAGAAAGACGGGCAGAAAGAGAGAAAGAGTCAGAGGGACCAGGATTTGTGAGAGAGAAACAGTGTTTTAAACTTTTTCTCTTCCAACTCCCAAAGAGCCGTGGTACACCCATCCATCCTCTGGCTGAGCCCCAGGTTCTGTGGCCCAGTTACAGTGCATCCCTGGTGGGTTGGAGTAACAGCCTCACACCCCTAAATCTCCTGAAGAGCACAAACCCAAGACTGTTTGTTATTGCAACATCACAGACAGAGAGAGGGAGAGAAGGAGAGAGGTAGAGAAGGATAGAGAGAGATAGAGGGAGGGAGAGAGAGAGAGAGAGAGAGAGAGAGAGAGAGAGAGAGAGAGAGAGAGAGAGAGAGAGAGAGAGAGAGAGAGAGAGAGAGAGAGAGAGAGAGAGAGAGAGTTGCCATTCATCTACCCCCCCTGTACTGCAGCCTTGGTTGCTATGGAAACGTCTCATTGTGTGTGAATAGGCCAGGTGCAGGGCGATGTACAGTGAGTGCAGCATTCCTGGCTCCAAAAGCACGCAGCTGGGAGTCTGACACACACATATACACACACCGTCCTCCTCTTGTATATTAGATATTAAATACAGCAGCTCATTTATCTCAATATTGAGCCAGAAAGCCATTAGTTTTGGCTGGCTTACTGTAACACTCTAACCATAAAGTAATACACTAACCTATCTTACTGTACATACCACTACTAATACATCACATTGGAGCTAGAGAACAACAGACTAAAATGCATACCAACTTCATCATTCTTTTAAGTGCTCATTTTGTCTATGGACTGGAGGCACAGAGGTGTCAGGTTTATTGAAGAGATGGGATGGTTAGGACAGGGACAGACGGGCAGGTGGTTGTGGTTTTCGTTTTTCCAGCTGATTAGGCAATATGGGGGTTGGGCTGGAGATGGGGGTGCGATGCAGGGCCAGGGACGGATGGAGATGGGGGTGCAGGTGGGAGATATGGGGGTTAGCTGGGGATGGATGGGGGTGCAGGTGCGGGGTTGTCTGGGGTTGGACTGTGTGCCTGCACTCCCTGATGTCATGAATAATAACACTAGATGATCCATCACCTAATTTACCCAGACACCTTCTACCCTCCCACTTCCTCACTGCTGACCAATCAAATCGCTCCAACTAATGACATCCCCACCCCCTCCAGCAGATCACCAAATCAGAGGTGACATTACCATCAGTCAAACCCACAGAGATTTAGACTGGATCCAAGATACATACAATCTACCATGCACAATCTACCATGCACAATCTACTACCAAAAAACCAAACAAACCCAAATCCAACCCCCTCTCTGGCCCAAATGGTACAATGCAAAGAAAAGAATTAGGAATGCACTGAAACAGACAAGAAGTGCTCTTAGATCTAAGCCCATGATCGAATGTAGAGCCTTTCTCTTTCAGCTTCCCCCGGCCCAGTTGCTATGGTAGCAGCCTGAGATTGGGGGACCCCACCTCCTCCCCCCCGCTGGGCCAGAGCAGAGGTCCCTCTCTGTACCCCCTCTCCCTCTCTCCCTTTATCCCTCTCTCCCTCTTTCCATCTGCCCCCCTCTAAGAGGGTTAGGGGCCTGGATTACTGCTTAAACCCCTCCCATCCCCCCCTATCTATCCTGTCTCCCACCATCTCACCCTTATCCCATTATTTCACATGCTCCTATCTCACCTGATCTCCTCTATCTCTCCTCCTAGTCCCCCTAATCCATGTCTCTTGGTCCTAACACTATCAATCCCATTGCACAGCACCACAGGCTCGCGGTACTATGAGAAGCCATGTTGCAGTGTAAGGAATGTTAAAAGAGGACATACAAGGCTTACGTTAGACTGGCGCAGACTGTAACCCAAAGTAAATCCCATAGCTTTAGGATAACCACCAAGCTCATCTGATGTACGATTATTTTCTTATGTATGTCATTCACATACAGTAACTAAATGATGAAGACGCTTAGCTAAGGAATCGCTGAGGAGTAGTGTATCCCTCACCCTCTCCCACCAGATATAAATAGAATTACATTGTATGAATTCCATACTCCAGTCACTCCTCAGTCGACCCCTACTCCTCCTGGTGTCTTGTCCTGCCGTGCCCCCTCTGTAGGGCTCATCTCTGCAGGCTATAGGCTACATCCCCTCTGTAGGCGGGTATACAGTGGGGAAAAAAGTATTTAGTCAGCCACCAATTGTGCAAGTTCTCCCACTTAAAAAGATGAGAGAGGCCTGTAATTTTCATCATAGGTACACGTCAACTATGACAGACAAATTGAGAATTTTTTTTCCAGAAAATCACATTGTAGGATTTTTAATGAATTATTTGCAAATTATGGTGGAAAATAAGTATTTGGTCACCTACAAACAAGCAAGATTTCTGGCTCTCACAGACCTGTAACTTCTTCTTTAAGAGGCTCCTCTGTCCTCCACTTACCTGTATTAATGGCACCTGTTTGAACTTGTTATCAGTATAAAAGACACCTGTCCACAACCTCAAACAGTCACACTCCAAACTCCACTATGGCCAAGACCAAAGAGCTGTCAAAGGACACCAGAAACAAAATTGTAGACCTACACCAGGCTGGGAAGACTGAATCTGCAATAGGTAAGCAGCTTGGTTTGAAGAAATCAACTGTGGGAGCAATTATTAGGAAATGGAAGACATACAAGACCACTGATAATCTCCCTCGATCTGGGGCTCCACACAAGATCTCACCCCGTGGGGTCAAAATGATCACAAGAACGGTGAGCAAAAATCCCAGAACCACACGGGGGGACCTAGTGAATGACCTGCAGAGAGCTGGCACCAAAGTCAAAAAGCCTACCATCAGTAACACACTACGCCGCCAGGGACTCAAATACTGCAGTGCGAGACGTGTCCCCCTGCTTAAGCCAGTACATGTCCAGGCCCGTCTGAAGTTTGCTAGAGTGCATTTGGATGATCCAGAAGAGGATTGGGAGAATGTCATATGGTCAGATGAAACCAAAATAGAACTTTTTGGTAAAAACTAAACTCGTCGTGTTTGGAGGACAAAGAATGCTGAGTTGCATCCAAAGAACACCATACCTACTGTGAAGCATGGGGGTGGAAACATCATGCTTTGGGGCTGTTTTTCTGCAAAGGGACCAGGACGACTGATCCGTGTAAAGGAAATAATGAATGGGGCCATGTATCGTGAGATTTTGAGTGAAATCCTCCTTCCATCAGCAAGGGCATTGAAGATGAAACGTGGCTGGGTCTTTCAGCATGACAATGATCCCAAACACACCACCTGGGCAACGAAGGAGTGGCTTCGTAAGAAGCATTTCAAGGTCCTGGAGTGGCCTAGCCAGTCTCCAGATCTCAACCCCATAGAAAATCTTTGGAGGGAGTTGAAAGTCTGTTTTGCCCTGCGACAGCCCCAAAACATCACTGCTCTAGAGGAGATCTGCATGGAGGAATGGGCCAAAATACCAGCAACAGTGTGTGAAAACCTTGTGAAGACTTACAGAAAACATTTGACCTGTGTCATTGCCAACAAAGGGTATATAACAAAGTATTGAGAAATTGTTTAAGTGGGAGAACTTGCACAATTGGTGGCTGACTAAATAATTTTTTCCCCCACTGTATCTGTAGGCTATAGGCTACATCCCCTCTGTAGGCGGGTATATCTGTAGGCTATAGGCTACATCCCCTCTGTAGGCGGGTATATCCGTAGTCAATAGGCTACATCCCTCTGTAGGCGGGTATATCTGTAGTCAATAGGCTACATCCCCTCTGTAGGCGGGTATATCTGTAGGCTATAGGCTACATCCCCTCTGTAGGCGGGTATATCTGTAGTCAATAGGCTACATCCCCTCTGTAGGCGGGTATATCTGTAGTCAATAGGCTACATCCCCTCTGTAGGCGGGTATATCTGTAGGCTATAGGCTACATCCCCTCTGTAGGCGGGTATATCTGTAGGCTATAGGCTACATCCCCTCTGTAGGCGGGTATATCTGTAGGCTGGGTTCTGGTGGTGGGACTGATAACTGTGACCTCCACTGTCAACACTGACTCCACCACTACTGCTGCTGGTATACACAGACACACACACAGCTACTGCTGGCGACAGAGTGGCAGAAAAATCCTCGTTCCATTCCTCTGTCATGCCCTGTCTACCCCCCTTAGGGCTTCTCAGTGCACACACACACACACAATCCCCTCCAGAGCTTGTCACTCAGCATGGTCTCAGTGCCCCTATCCCCACACTGACTGACAGCTTGGCCACAGGATATGACTCACACTGGGGCCTTAAGCTGTGGAACATCTATCTCTTCACCCTCTCTCTCTCTTCATTGCACCATCTCTTTCTCTCTCTCTCTCTCTCTCTCTCACTCTCTCTCTCCTCTCTCTCTCTCTCTCTCTCTCTCTCTCTCTCTCTCTCTCTCTCTCTCTCTCTCTCTCTCCCCCTCCAACTCTCTATTTCTCTCTCCCCTTCTATCTATCTCTTCAAAGCTTTCTTCCTCCTACTCTCTGGTTCCTTAATGAGAGTTGTTAAAATGCTGTATATGATTGGTCTGATTATGATGATGAGGAAAATACTATATAAGCTGAGTGGGTGAGAATGAGAAGGTGCGGCTGAAACACACACACACACACACACACACACACACACACACACACACACACACACACACACACACACACACACACAAAGTGAGAGAGATACAGAGATGCACTCAGCTCTAAAGATTTCTGACTGTTAAGTATGTCTCTGAGCTGATTCTCTTCCCCCTGACTCTCAACCTCTGTTTTTAATGTTAAATGTTCAAGGGAGAAGTAAGCACACACACACACACACACACACACACACAAACACACAACCCCCATCCCCCAACGAATGCAGCTTAATGGTCACAACATGCTCCCAAGCCACTTCTGTCCTGCATCTGGAAACAGCTTGGTATAGAAAATAGGTCATCTTTAACTCACTGATTGTGCCTGTGTGTGTGCATGTGTACGTCCGTCTGTGTCCGTCAATGTGTCTGTACGCCTACGTGTGTTTGTGTCCTTACGTGTACGTGTGTGTGTAGTGTGTGTCCATGTGTGTGTGTAGTGTGTCCGTGTGTGTGTGTGTAGTGTGTGTCCATGTGTGTGTGTGTAGTGTGTCCGTGTGTGTGTGTAGTGTGTGTAGTGTGTCCATGTGTGTGTGTAGCGTGTGTCCGTGTGTGTGTGTAGCGTGTGTCCGTGTGTGTGTGTGTGTAGTGTGTGTCCGTGTGTGTGTGTGTGTCTGTGCTAGACAGCCTCGTGACCCTTCCAAAGGGTACAGGTCCTTTTTTTGCATTTAGATAAACTCATCACAGAGCCAGTCCTGTCAGGGTGAATCAGCCTCTATCCTGCAGCCTTCGCCCACCCCACAGACCCCAAAGTGGGGTTCCCTCCACTGACCCCCCTTCCATCCTTTCACTGGCCCTGGGGGGGCTGCTGGCTGGGGAAAGGCCAGGATTGGAGGATTGGGGGCTGCTGGATTAGACTGGGGCAAGGCCACAGTGGGGTCAGGGGCTGGGGAAAGGCCAGGGAGGGGGCTTGGGGTTTTGGGACTGGGGGCTGGTGGCTGTGGGCTGGGGGCTGGGGGCTGGGGGCTGGGGGTTGGAGGCTCCAATCAGGGCATGACTACCCAATTAGGAGATGACAGCTGAGAGGTTTGACAAAATGCAAGGCTAGAGGTCTCACGCAACACATCTACCATCATCAACCAAGCCCTTTCCTCCCTCCTCCCTATCTGTCTCAGCAGACCCAGCACGAACACACCATCTACCATCATCAACCAGCACCTACCACCAACCCACTGGCTTCTTCCTTCCTTCCTTCCTTCCTTCCTTCCTTCCTTCCTTCCTTCCTTCCTTCCTTCCTTCCTTCCTTCCTTCCTTCCTTCCTTCCTTCCTTCCTTCCTTCCTTCCTTCCTTCCTTCCTTCCTTCCTTCCCTAGCCCACTAAGCAGGGCCACACCTGGGGGATACTGCCATGGTAACCCCTCCCTCTCCATGGTGGCTCCCCCCTCCCTCCCTCCCTCCTCCTTGAAGCTTGTGGAGAGGAGACTGAACGGGTCAATGTGCTCTGTCGCGGCAGGCTGGGCCTTGCCGGGCTGGGGACGATCCTGCAATGTGCAGTGGGGTGAACTGAGGGGGAAACATAGCTGGATGTGGCCAACGCTTTCCTCTACTCTGCTACCCCATGGTCTGGGTCTCCACTAACCAATAACAGTAGACTACATACATGACTTCAGTCAACCTCGACTCATAACACTACTGTCCGAGATACATCTCTCTCCACGGCACTACAACACTACCTAATAAGACTTCTCTGGGCCTCCATTTTCCGACAACATCTCCCAACTACCCAACTTCTCTGTAACACTGCCCCATCTACTCTACCCAAAACATTGCTTTGTCACTGCCCAGCCTCCAGCCCCAGCAACAGCCTCCAGTCCACCTCCTCAGTACAGACAGGCAGTGAGTATTCTGCCAGGAATAGCTAGGATGGAGGGAGGGATGGAGGGAGGGATGGAGGGAGGGCGAATGAAAGGGCACTTGTCTCACTTACCTGCTCCTCAGAATGACTGTTTCTTTCTCTATCTCTCCTGCTCTCTCTATTTCTCTGCCTTCTTCTTCTCCTCCTCCTCCTCTACTTTCCTTCCTCCTCCTCTCTTTCTACACCTGTCTCTCTATCTCACCTCCCTCCTCCATCTATCTTTCCCTCCTGCTCCCTGCCTGTCAGTGTGTGTGCTCTGTCTAGCAGCCTGTATCAGAGTGTGTGTGTGAGTGAGTGTGTGTGTGTGTGCGCGTCTGTCTGTGCGTGTCAGTGTGTGTCAGTTTGTGTGTTTGGTGTAGCAGTGAGACTGGTCGGCCCATTACACTGACAAGAACAGGAGCAACAACCTGATGACTGGGCTCCGGGGAGAGAAAGGGAGGAGGAAAGGAGAGGAGAGGGGGAGGAGAGGAGGAGGAAGAGGAGGAGGAGAGAGAACAGGTTTACAGGGATACGGGTGGATAATCTACACAGAGAAAGAGGAAATTGGCTGGATTAAACCCTGGATGGCTGTAGGCTGAATTTCAATGTTCAGGTCATATGAGGTTCCCAAAAAACCCACAAACCTCCTCTGACTGGGATATATTATATTTAAGAGAGATTCTCGATTCACAAATTGGTATGGATTCATTTTGTATAGACATATCGACCACAGAAATGATATAACACTCTGTTGGGTGATACCATAACCTGTCCATCTGTCTGAGATGAATATCAAAATAAATGTGTGAGATAATTACTGGCTAATAAATGTGATATAGATGTGCGTTGGCATTTAGGAGCAGTCAGGAATAGACAGTGCTTTAGCCCCTCCCCCTCCCCTCCCCTCACACACACACACACACACACAAAAAACACACACACACACTGAAAGAACGGCCCATTAATGGCCAGTTTAAAGGCTCTCAAAGGTCAGGGGTCAGGGCCCTTATGGATTCTGGGTCTTGGGGCCTCATCAATACTAACCTGCTACTGCTCCACTAGCCCATCCGTGTCGGTGTCGGTGTGTCGGTGTGTGGGACGTTGTGTGTGTGTGGTGTGTCGGCTGGGAGCCAGAGGCCGGGGCCAGAGGCTATCCATTACCACGGTGACAAGCGGTAATGTGTTAAGCCGAGGCCAAGGAATCTTTTTGTTGTTCTTTATAAATGGAGGCCTTTACACAGTCAGATAAACCACAAGTCCCACGATGCTCCTCTCTCTCCCCACCACCCCAAGGCAGGAGAGGAGGAAGCAGCAGGAGGAAAGAGTCGAGCGGAGCAGAAAGTGTGTGTCTGTGTGTGTCTCTCTGTGTGTGTGTGTGTGTGTGTGTGTGTGTGTGTGTGTGTGTGTGTGTGTGTGTGTGCGGTGCAGTGGAGAAATACAGAGACGCTGCATCCCTTCCATTGATTAATCAATAAAAGCCAGGCCTGAATTAATTGTTGCTGCCTAAAAAGACACAGCGGGCTGGAATTATGAAGACACAGAAAGCCAATAAAAGATGGGAGATTTAATCTCCCCCAAAAACAGAGACGTATGTCCCTGATGAGGAGTCAGGAACACATGAGGCATCTGACAGACAAAGACAGAGCAGATGAGACCAGACATTGACTGAACTGACTCCCTTTGATGTTACAGCCAGACAGACACCAGATCGCTTTCTGTTTTAAACTCAACTCCTTTGTCACTGTCTTACATAACGTTTATGACAACGACAAAGGAGTTGGCTAGCCTGGAATCCAAACTGAACTGTTTCATGGTGAAGCAAAGGGGCTGGCTAGAGACAAATCTGCCTATCAGGGGTTCTTATACTTTTTCAGCTCGAGACCCAAATGAGAAATTGACTATCCTGCTATGACCCGAATCGTCCTTTAACGACCCAAATTAACAAGAAATAGTGTGCATTATAGATGTATTCTCATAACTCGCAACCCACCTCTCTCATGCCCAGGGCCCACTTTGGGCCCCGACCCATAGTTTAAGAAACCCTGGTCTAACTTGCTGTATCATTCAATTCAGGGAGACACCGTTTTTTTAATCTCTAGAGACTCCCTGGTGAAATGAAGGATAAATAGATTCAGAAACACAGATTGAAGGATTGTTTCTGATTCAGACACTGAATGGATGGCTCTTCTCTGATGGTGATGCAGTAGACAGAGGTCAGTAATACGTCCTGCCCCCACCCTCATCCAATCTCTCAGAGGGAATTGATGTGAGCATCGTAACAGCATCTCCTCCCTCCTCTAAATGACTGACCACTCCCAATCCCTATCCCAGCCACTGGCTTCAGGCCTGAGGGAAAGGATGGACAAGAGCGAGAGGAGGAGGGAGAGGAGGGAAAAGAGGGAGAGGAGGGAGAAGAAGAGAGAAAGGAGGGATGGGCCTGTCACATCAATCATCATCCATCACATCACATCAAACCACAACAGCAGCAGCAGAGAACAGCAGCACATCTATTGTTGCTCGTCCATTAGTCTTGATGTATCACAACAAAGACAATAGCAGATACAAAGCAATATGACTTAATATAGGGAGCCCATGACAGCCTAAGCATAATTTGTAGGTTTGGCTGTAAGGGTTGATTTTGATATAATTTTAGTCATTTTAGCAGACGCTCTTATCCAGAGCGACTTACAGGAGCAATTAGGGTTAAGTGCCTTGCTCAAGGGCACATCGACAGATTTTTCACCTAGTCGGCTCGAGGATTAGAACCAGCGACCTTTCGGTTACTGGCACAATATCGGTTTAATAGCTGATAGTCACACCATTTCCGCTTTTATTTTCAGTTGTGCTTTTGTGCTTTTGGTGTGGTCAAGGACCTTTGTGGGTCGACGGTGTAACCGCCCTCCAGTGCATATAAAAGGCTAACGTTGGAATAGATCTCCTGTGTGTGTATACAGGCTGATGAGCACACAGAAAGAGACAGGCAAGCATATGCACAACACAACGCACAGTCACACACGCACACACCAGTCTAATCGATACCTGGACACACCCTGCAGTGGGACGTTTTGCTTTGTGAGGGCGAAAAGAGGAAAAGCATCAATGCCGCTGACTAGCCATGGTCTGTCCGGAGTCCTCAGTCTGTCAGTACACAAACACAGGGTGACCTATTGAAAGGCTTGACACTGCACACAAACACACAGACCAGCCTCACAGGAGAGACGGGTAGGAGAGGGAGGGAGAGCGGGGTAGGGGGAGGACCTGAGAGGGAGGAAAGTTGGGTGAGGGAGAGGAGAGAGAGACGTCATACCTATTTGATACATATAAAATAAATAGATTAGAGAGAAAGGGGAGACCATGCAGGGTTCAAGTCCTCACGTACACACGGTCTCTCCTCCCTCTCCTCCCCATGTCCACTACTCCTCTGCTGATAATGATATGGTAATGAAGCAGCGTTTGATCTGATAGGTGGACTGGTGATGCATATAAATCAGTGGTGTGAATTAGCCAGGCCCTCTGATAGGCCGAGTGGGGCTGGGTACACACGCGCACACACACACACAGCCCTGTCTGACCGTGATAGTACCCCGTCTTGCCCGATAAAGAACATTGAGTGTGGGGTTCTTGACATGGCATCTACTGTTCCTCAGAATTCTAAAAGGTTCTATAAATGTATGGAAGCCTGCAGTGTCCCTTTCATTGCACACAGCAAATTGACCATTGTTAACTAGTGTTGATTTTTAAGTGTAACATTTCTAGCGTTGATTCAAGAGTTCAATTAACACAGAGGTGTAAAAGAACCCCAGTGTTGGCATTAATAACCAGAGTTGAAGCAAAATCACGCCCATCATTATCATATTTCCCAGTATGCTCTATTGCAAGTTGATTTTAAGAATTGTTTGTTTCAATACACTGATTGATTAATTAATCTCATGCTATTCAAATATGAATAACATACATTTTTCTAAACTATGCCAATCTGTTACTTGGACTTATTGCACCAGTTACTGAAATGGTTGTTCCAGTTTAGATGTTTAAGGTAGTCTCATATCTTAGTCTTCCCAACCCTGCAGTCATTCTGAATGCAGGGTGAATACAAATTCAAAATGTTGGATATCCCCACCCTGGCTGGATTCCAATAGGAATTACACATCACTTTGCAAGCCAGCATAATGTGACTTGCAGGCCTGATGTGGCCTGTAAACCAAGAGTTTCAGGCCACTGTATTATGGTAAAACTAAGCCTTCAAAAGAAGGCCTTATGAAATATGTATTGTAGTGTCTTGAATAATTTTATTTAAAAGACAACATATTCACTTATTATCTCACTTGGTGAAGGTCACAGGACTTAACATGAATGATTGCAACAACCATGTCTCTGTCACTAGCAAACACAGTCATGGGTGGTACTAGTAAATTCATTCGAAAGTCACCCTGGGAAATATGGAAATAAGGCTTTAAACCCTACAGCAGGGCTATTGAATTCTGGTCCTGGAGGGCCAAAACTTTTCTGGTTTTGGATTTTTGTATGGTTCTTCAAAGAACCATCTCATTAAAGGTGCTTCAGAATCCCTAAAATGGTTCCCCTATGGCATCGCTCTCACAAATCTAGAGCGGCAGGTAGCTTAGTGGTTAAAAGCATAGTGCCAGTAACCGAAAGGTCGCTGGTTCTAATCCCCGAGCCGACTAGGTGAAAAATCTGTCGATGTGCCCTTGAGCAAGGCACTTAACCCTAATTGCTCCTGTAAGTCGCTCTGGATAAGAGCGTCTGCTAAATGACTAAAAATAAATTAATAATAAATCTTATTTGGTTTTTAAGAGTATACACAGAAATAGCCTGTTTCAAATCTCAGCCCTGCTATCTTCCGTTTGCACTGTCAGTAAAATATTCAATCTCCTCTCCTCTCCCCCTTCCTATTCCCTCTCTCTCTCTTTTCTTCCTCCCTCCCTCTCCCCTTGTCTCTCCCTCCCAATCTCCATCCCTTCGTCCCAACTGATCATCGTTGGAGCTGCAGCGAGCAGCAGGCCCCAGAGCTGCGATGCTATTGGCTAGAGATGATGTCATTGTTTCCAGGGGGCAAGGTAGCGCTGAGTGCTATTGGCTGGCAGGGAGGGCAGGGTAGACAGTATGGGAGCGCTGAGGTATCACTTTCATTCATACAGAGCAGAGAGAGTGAGTAGAGCTCTGGGTACCCGCTGCCTGACATCTCACACACAGACACACACACACACACACATTACGGTACAGCTGGGGCTCTGGCACAGTGTCTGAGGGCGGGGCAAAGCTTTGACGGACAGCCAGTAACCCTTCAGTTATCTCAGACACAGAGGGCCATTAGATTGACAGACTGAGAGAGGAGCATGAGTACTGTATCAATACTAAACACACACACCCTCACACTCTCTCTCTCTCTCTTCCTCACAGACAGAGTAATCATTGATGGGGGTAGGGATAGAGGGATAGGGCAGGTGGGTGTTGTCCTTGTGTGTGTACGAGGCTGTCACCATGGTGATGTGCAGATGGAGCCCTTCTTTCTGGCTTGAACTCGCGCTATGGGAGAGGAGGGAGGAGGGGAGGGCCTTCCAAAACACAACACAAACACACACACACACATTCCTTAAGATCAGCAATACCCTTGCATGTTCGGACTCTCATAGCACACCGAAAGCAGCCTAAAATATGTGTGTGTGTGTGTGTACACTCCCGGGGGGAAACACTAGCCCTGCCTGCACATAATCGACGTGTTATTCCGAGAGACACTCGTGGGAAATTAGCCTGTGATGCCCCGCTGTGGTGTCACCCTTACCTGCCTTCTCTCTTCCCTCTCTCACCCCCCTCCCTCACCTTCCTCTGTCAATTTTTCCATCCAGAGAATTATGTAATTGTTTTCTGTAGTTGCTGTTGTCTAAGCTCAGAGGAGATGTATACATACTACATCTAAAGAGAGGGATAGTCATCCCTCCATCGCTCGGTTGAGACTGCTATGTGGCATTCTCTTCATCTTTTCAGGAGCATGAGGGGAGTTACCCCCCCCCCCTCCCCCCCTGACGGTGTTGCTTATGGCACAGCTCATAAAGACGCATGGGGGATTTTGTGTGTGTCCCAGCAGTATCAGCTCTGCTCTGTCTGCTGTTTAGTCACACTAAATTTGTCCTAAATGTTCAGAGTCAGCTCAACACTTCAGCAGAGCATACTGCTGCCTCTCTGAACGCTGAAAACAATCTAATCAGGGTAATTTTCTCTCTCTGTGTGTGTTCCCTCTGAACACGATCTAATCAAGGATAGTCTAATTCTTAGTCTAATCTAAATTGAATTGCATTCAAAGCTTTTCAATTTAATTGTTTCATTTTTAGAATGTCTAATTAAAAGTTATTCGTTAATCCCTAACGTATCTTTATGCTAGATTAGATTCTTTCATCGTTTGGGTATCATCAACATTTTAATCTTTAGTCTCATCTTTTTCTAAACGAAATTCAATTCTTTACGGAAACGGTTGTTGAAACGTTTTCTGATTTGATTTTTGAAAATGGTTCTAGTAGTTTTCTTTTATTTGATGTTATCAGTCACCATATCCATCTGTGAAGAACATCAATTCTCCATCTTCTCTTCCACCATGATCAAACACATTGTCTGCTGCTTCGGAGCTATTCTCATATCACCTAGTTGCACTTTATTTGCCTGTGGTCCTTTCATAAAGTAAACTGAAACATTAAGAATTCCACCAGGACTCTGGTACCCAGTAACTCACAAAGACCTTTTGGGGGTCGGTTGGAAGAGGAAGAAGATTTAGTTAATAAAGGTATAAATGTCAGTGAGGTAGATATATTCCAGAGAACCAACAGAGTAATGGGAGACCTAGGTTACTCGTGCCTTCTGTTCAACATTTACTTGTCCCATTGATGTCAGAAGTATTTCACAAGGGAGACCTGGAGTCCAGTCGTGCCATAAATAACATCGCTAGTTTGAGGAGTACTGTGACCATGTTACCTCAACCTCCCCTGGCTGACCCACTAATCCTCAGATCCATCTTATCAGAGACCCAACAGACAAATATAAGACCTATGTTATTAGTGCCTTAACCTTAGCAGGGCCCAAAATCTGTAGTTGATGTACTTCTACAGCTAAAACCTTCTACTGCTAAAGCCGTGTACAGTGCTAGTTTGAATGCAAGCAGTACTCCAAAGAGGTACAAAACGGTTGAGAAGCACAAGGCTACAGCACATAGAGAGCTGTGACCACCAGGTTACCATAACCCTCCCTACCCTCGGCCCACTTATCGTCAGGCCTCTGCTCTTATCAGAGAGGCTCAGTAAGAGTGGTTCAGTCATATCTGTCCGGCTGAACTCTGGCCTCCTGCTGGCGACCCCTAAACCTCTGACCCCTGACCCCTGGGGTCAAAGGTCAAGTGGACACACAATAGAACCCCTCCCCTGATTCCTCCTGCCTAAATCCCCTCTCCAGATTCCCTCTCTCTAACACCATCAGAAAGTCCACTAACATCAATAAGAGCAACGGTCCACCACCTCAATAATGAAGTTGTGTTTATCAATGTTCAATCATTTGGAATTTAAAAGATATAGACCTACTGGTAGATGAATAGCTTGTGAGGCAATGTGTTGGGGAGCGGGGTTTGGGGGGGGGGTGTATAGAGCAGGTGGGGGTAGAAGTAAGTTCCAGACCAAGCCTGTGATCTCTGCAGTGCTGTGCTGCTCCCTAAAAGAGCCACACACACAAAGACTTCTGAAGGGGAACCATGCAGGCGCCATGAGGGGTCCTTTAGATCTCTCTGTATGGCATACACACACACACACACACACACGAATGCATGCATGCACACATCCCCTTGCCACATGGAAACAACCTCCAATCACTTTCTGTAGCACCTGGATCTGAGGGAGACACACACACACACATACACACACACACACACACACACACACACACACACAACACACACACACAGTCTCTCTGGAGTGGAGCAGTCAGTGTGAGTGACAGCAGCGTGAGTAGCGTGACAGAGGTGAGTATGTCTGTCAACACATTCACACCTCCACAACTCTACCTGGTACAGCGGTCTATTTCCCTGTTACAGCTGTAACCAACACACTTATTTCATTTTAAAATGTTCACCAGTCAGTGCCTCAGCCCTTCTTATACCACACACACACACACACACACGCACACGCACACGCACACACACACACGCACACACGCACACACACCCGCACATACCTGCACACACACACGCACACACACCCGCACACACCTGCACACACACACACACACATGCGCTCCCTCTCTCACATGACTCGCTGTTAGCTATGTCCTCCAAAATGCCATCTGCAACCACCCTCCCACTGGTTCATTATAGCACAGTCAGGTACTAGTTAATGGCACTTAAACACGCAATCCACATCCTACGTTCCGACATTAAATCTTGAAAAGAGCAAACAAAGAATCTGAAATGGAGGTTTTTGAACTGGCAAAAGGACAGATTGGCTAACTGGGAGAAAGGTGAGAACTAGTGAGTGGGAGCCGCTACAGACCGTAATCCTGACCTGGGGCTATGGATCTGTGGAAGTGTCTCTGCTCTGCTCACTCTTCAGATCCCAGCACCCCTACCATTCCTCACCATCCCTCAGTCTCTAGTCATGTAGGATCCCTTGTGCTTCACTGCCTACCCTCTTTGCTACATCCAGCTACAACTCCAAACAGTTAGCCTGGGTAACAGTCTGTTTCTGCTCTCTTTATGGAATTCTCATGACAAGAGAGTAGAAACAGACTGGCACCCAGGCTACCATGCACTGGCTTAGGTTTTTTTTGGAAAAAGGCACTAATGGTTAGGACTCAGAGCAACAGAAAGAAAAAAACAGAGTGAGCGTGTCTCATTACTAGTGAAAACATCCTAGTGTAATTAACTTCCTCTCTCTCAGTAACAGGCTGATTTTCTCTTGAACTTTAGCGGTTAAACAGCCGCTTAGCCCCTCGCTGCCCTGGGGGGAGTGACAGGCGGGCGAGGCAAGGCGAGGCAGGCGCTCCAAAGAGGATTTGCTGTGAAAAGGACTCGGGAGAGGAGAGGAGGAGCGGGAGCGCCGAGACGAGACACAAGAAGAGTGGAGTAGGGGGGATTACACAGAGGGTCGCATATTACAATACTTAAGCTTGCCATTCGGCTACAGGCGGCGCGGGGCTAATGCTAGCTAACGTCACTAACGCAAATGTATCAGTATCAGTTATAGCTTCTGCTATGTATGTCAGACGGGTGGGGTTGAACATGGTTAATTGACTATGTGGAGGTAGAAAGAGCCCCACGGTAGCTGTTGGTATTGGTCCCTGGGATAATTGGTGGCTGCGGTGGCCCCTAGAGCTCCTATCACGATTGAAGGCAGTGGAGGCTATAGTGTCACTTTAATTCAGAGGACATGTTTGATACCATTAATTCCTTTGAGCCGGTCCTCCGATTTAAAGTGACACCAGCCTCCACTGGTTGGTGGCCATGGGGCCAGGCCATGGGCTCTGGGGTTGACAGAGAGGCTGGCAGGGCCACAGAGAGTATCCCAGCTGGGTCACTGGGGAGATAAACTGGGGCTGCGCTGCCTGGCTGGTTGGGGTTAGCCTAGCTGGCAGACACAGAAAGGGGGGATTAAAATCAGGGAAAACAATCAAAGTGCAAACTGCATGCAGAGGGGAGAAAGGGGCAGATGGGAGGATTTGGGGGTTCAAGCGCTGATCTGCTCTGTGAACAAACAGGGCTGTAACATCACAATGTCCCAGTTAGAGACCGACTGGGATAGTATAGTGGTCTTAATTACAGACACAATGGTAGCACTGCCAGCACGCAGCACTCCCATAGACTCATAGACCATACGATCAGTAGTAATCTCTCTGCTGGGTGTCTAAAGCACAATATCAGCTGGAAATTGAAAACAACCTAATGGTTGAACTGAAATCCTGCTATTTGTTCAATGGCCCGGGGAACTGAAATGAACCCCAATCGGATTCTTATTTTTGAGAATGTAGACAGACAGTGTCTCAGCATTTCTTCCTGTCCTGGTGCTGGTCTGAGATCAGGTGATGTAAACAGGACACACAGGTCAACAGACGGAGGATCTTATCAGACCATCTATCAGAGTCAAGTGGCTGAGGCTGGTGGCCTAACTACAAATACTAAAATTAGCCCCTTCACTGAACATACTCCCATTTTCTGCACCAAAGTAACACACAAATACACATACGGGCATGTGCATGTGCACACGTACACACATCAGGGTCATATTATATTTCAATGCCACTACTCTGCTATAAATCCTGTTAATAAACCCTGAACACTGCTACAGTCTCCAACAGACAAGGAACAGTTGTGAAAGTATACAGATAAGAACTACAAAAAAGACAGAGCTCATACTATCACATACTAAAGCATGACTTTCAATAACAACACACTACATTACTGTGAGTATCCTTACTATCAGATCCAAAGGAATGACTTTTAGTGGTGATCTAATGTAATTCAATCTCCCTGCTATTCTCTCCTGTCCTCCTTTAATGTTACAATAGAATCTCTGACCACAATGTGCCAACAATACATCCTTAGGTCATCTGTCAGGAATCAGCCATGCTCATGTTTCTCAGGCTTCTAAATTAGACAAGCACAATTAGATATGCCTGCCTGTATCGTATCGTATCTATGATATCACCAGTTAGCTGCTGGCCAAAACAGGAATGAACACACTCCAACACAACCATTACACACTCTCATGCACTCTCACACGCAAAGACAAAACCACTATCAGAAATGTTCAGAAATTCACAAGCCAATATACAGATTCTGTTCAAACCCAAAACTCTCGAACAAAAACACATCCTTTGAATCACAACCTCTCTCTTTCTCTTTAATTTCTCAAACACAAACACACACCTACAAAAAAAACCCACACACACACACACACACACACACACTCACCTACACAAACACACACACACCCTCACCTGCACCTGCATGAAGGAGCCTCTGTAGAAACAGCAGGCGGCTGCCGACAGGGCGCTCCATAGGCTACAGCGTTCGGTCATGATTCCTCTCCTCACGGCTCAGCTCACGGCTGTACACCACCCTGAGGACCCCAGCACCAGCTCTCCTCTCCTCTGTCACTGTCCCACAGCAGGCAGGCAGCGCTCCTCTCCTCTCCTCGCTAGCAGCCCCGGCCCCGGCAGCGGCTCATCTCACTCAAAACCGTGTGGCTGCTATGCTATGCTACCAGCGCTAGCTAACACTACAGTTTCTACTGCTGCTGGCACTGCTGGTCAGGACTCCAGCTCCTCGCACTCTGTTGCTACTGTCATCTCTCTCCTTCTCTCTCTCTCTCTCCTTCTCTCTCTCTCTCGTACTGCTCCTCTCTCTCTCTCTCTCTCGCTCACACTCTGGCTGTGCTTCACGAGCCCTCGCAGGGATTACCTCATCCCTTTCTGATGAAAGGAGTGGGTGGGGGAGGGTGGAAAGGAGAGAGGGAGGGATAGGGAGGAGGAGGGAGAGATGCTAGCAGGCACTGGTGGAGTGCTGTCGAATTGCAGGCAAGGCAGACCCCACCCACCCCCTCCTTCACGACCACAGAGAGACAATACTGAGAGAGAGAGAGAGAGGGGGGGGGGGGGGGGGAGAAAGAGAGAGAATGAGAGAGAGAGAGAGCGAGAGAGAGAGGGGGGGAGAAAGAGAGAGAGATAGGGAGGGGGAAGAGAGAGAAGGAGGGAAAGCGAGAGAAAGAGAGAGAAGGGGAGAGAGGGAGGTGTGCCTCTTTAGTTTCAGCACCTTCTCAAAGGAATCTGTCCTTTATTCCTAGTTGAAAGGAATTGCAGGGTGGCAAGAGGGGGGCAAAGAATGCACTCACAGACATTTGAATACACATACACAAACACATTCAGACTCTTTCACTTACACACCCAGTACATCTTAACTTGTTTGTTCGAAATGTAACATTGGAGCATTATTTTCTGTCTATGTGTAAGTCTTTGCAGGTATGTGTTCTTGTGTTTGTATGTTGTGAAAGGGTTGATGTGCTAAGTATAGAATGTGTCTGAGGACATCATTCATGCTGTGTTTTTGAGAATCAGAGAAAGGCAGGGTGTTGTAAAAAAAAAGCTTATTTCGCGAGTGTGCACAAAGCAAAACAAAACACAACACACACATCACACACACAAACACATACACACTGCCACATGCACACCAATCTGAGTCGTCACGTCGTCTTGAGCAGTGGCGAGGTGGGGCTTTGTCCCCTGGGGAACTGAGTGACATCACAGAGGACGCCTCACCATGGCAACGGATCTGGAGTCTTGACAGCATCCTAAATTCTGGGAGCTTTTGATAGCCCTGCACTGCAGAGACCTCACGGGAAAGGACATAAAGGGTTGAGAGAATCTCTCTGCTTTATCTCCGAGGTCACCTCTACTACTACGTGTGTGTGTAGTGTACCCCAACACACACAGGGGGTAATCAGTGTGCTAATCGTGTCTGTGAATAAAACAATCTATCAGAGCGAGAGAGAACGACACACAAAGAGAAGACACAGGAGAGATTCATTAGCGAAGGAGTCTTTCTTAAACAAATCTCCCTCAAGCAGCGTTCGGTAGGCGGATTACACTTTGTGAGCACAAATAATCCCATAAGGATGCATGTGTTTCCCTATCTCTATCCCTGAGCGTCCTGCACTGCCAATGACAGCATACAGTGTGTGTGCGCGTCCCATCACGACTCTGCTACCGCTGCCATGGCTGTGTGAACACCAAGAGAGATAGAGCATGGGGCGTGGTAGGGGAGGGGAGCTAGCGTGCATAACATACATAGATTACGTATAGGATGGGATGGGCACTGCGTATTATATATGCACGAAGCACATGCATATAACCACTGTAGATAGTGTGTGTGTGTGTGTGTGTGTGTGTGTGTGTGTGTGTGTGTGTGTGTGTGTGTTTGATGGGAGAGTGCATTGCAAAGTCACTATTCTTCTCTCTCTCTGCACCCTACCCCCCCTAACCCACCATCATCTATCTCCCATTGCACTCACTGATTCTCCCACCCACCCTCTCTTAACAATAACACAAGGTAATTTAGGCCAATCTAAAAGGCTCTCTCTGTGCTCTGCTCTCTGTCAACCCTTAATCCTCCTGTGCTGATCTCAGATCTTGTCTTTCATCTCTATACATTTTTTTCTCTCCATCTCTGTTTTTTGTCTCGAAACCCCTCTCCCACTCTCTACTTTCCCTCTAACCTTCTCTTTCTACAGTTTTCCTCTCCATTACTCAACCCCTCCGTTCAAATCTTTCACCTTAAACACCTCTCCTTTTGCCCTCCGCTCCTCTCTCTCTGTCGCAACCACACACACCCCCCCTCTCTCTTTCCATCTCCCCTCCCTCTCTCTGTCTCTCCATCTTCCCCTGCACTCTGTGTGTCTTCTTCAGTTAAATATTAATTACTGATCCCCATCCTGATGCTGTCCTGCGGGCGGATTGTGGAGCAGGAGGCCCTCACACACACCCACACAGACAATGGAGGAGAGGGAGAAAAAAAAACTGCTCCCCCTGTTCCCTGCCTGGGAGCACCACGATAATGGGGAGCTGGGGAGTGTGTGTGTGTGTGTTCGTGCCTACGTGTGTGTGTGTGTGTGTTTGTGTGTGTGTACATCTGATGATCCATTAGTCTCAGATCCCCATCAGCGTTTAGGGCTGCTTCTATTCATTGACTCCTATTCATTATTAATCCATATAAAGCCTTCAGATATTTGACTCAAACACCTTCTGAAACAAAGGCCCTGTAGTACAATGGAGTAGTTGGAGACTAGAGAGGAGGGTTTGAATGAGAACTGTGGAGCCTGCTCTCACTGGCACAGATTGTGCAGATACCAGCTATTTTTCAGGAAGCTTTTTCTTGCAATGAGCATGATATGTGGTTGTTTGAGCCTACTTTAGTTGAATACACTGATTGATTGTAAGAGCTTCTGCTAAATGACTAAAATGTAAATGCAGTCCTATGTGGCCCAGTTGGTAGAGCATGGTGCTTCCAATGCCAGGGTCGTGGGTTCTGGGGTCAACCATATAAAAATGCATGCATGCACTACTGTAAGTGACTTTGGATGAGAGCATCTGCTAAATGACTCAAATCTAGGCCTAAATGAAAATCTAAATGAAAATACATACACCAGCTGCAATTAGACCTGCACTCACTAGACAGTGCCTGCTCTTCCTGGCCCACAGACAGCGTGTGTACGGCGGCAGGTAGCTTAGTTGTTAAGAGCGTTGTGCCAGTAACCGAAAGGTCGCTGGTTCTAATCCCCGAGCCGACTAGGTGAAAAATCTGTCGATGTGCCCTTGAGCAAGGCACTTAACCCTAATTGCTCCTGTAAGTCGCTCTGGATAAGAGCGTCTGCTAAATGACGTAAATGTATTTGTATTTTATTAGGGATCCCCATTAACTGCTGCCATGACGATCAGCTGTGCAGCCAGATCCAGTCCGGTACGACCCGTGCCAGCTCCTCGCACCAAACCAGTGGTGCCTGTCGCCAGCCCGGTACGCCCCGTACCTGCTCCCCGCACCAAACCAGTGGTGCGTGTATCCAGTCCGGCACGGCTCGTGCCTGCTCCTCGCACCAAACCAGTGGTGCCTGTCGCCAGCCCGGTACGCCCCGTACCTGCTCCCCGCACCAAACCAGTGGTGCGTGTATCCAATCCAGTACGGCCAGTCCCTGCTCCTCGCACCAAACCAGTGGTGCGTGTCACCTGTCCGGTACGCCCCGTGCCTGCACCTCGCACCTCGCCCCTCTCCAGGTTCGGGGTCTCCCACACCAGGGTCCAGACAGGGCTTGGTGCATCGTGGGAGGAGGGGGAAGCATCGCGCCGAGGTCCAGACCAGACCAGAGGCGCAACGGGGAGACAGAGAGGAAGAGGTCGTCACGCCCGGAGCCGGATCCGCCTCCGAGGCTGAAAGCCCACCCGGACCCTCCCCTAATGAGTCAGGTTGGTGCGGCCGGAGTACGCACCTTTGGGAGGGGGGGGGGGGGGGGGGGTACTGTCACACCCTGGCCTTGAGAGGCCGGTTGTCTTTAGTTGGTTTGGTCAGGGCGTGAGGATCTATGTTAGAATTTCTATGTTTAGGATCTAGATGTGTATTTCTAGGTTTGGCCGGGTGTGATTCCCAATCAGAGGCAGCTGTCGCTCATTGTCTCTGATTGGGGATCATACTTAAATAGCCTGTTTGCCTACCTTAGTTGTGGGATCTTGTTTAGCCTGAAGACTTCACGTTACGTTGTTTTTTGTTTTGTTTATGTTTATTGAGTTAAATAAACATGTACGCTTTTCACACTGCACCTTGGTCTGACCCGTCTCTCAACGATCGTGACACACTAGCACATTAGAGAATGCTGCTGCCTATTGAAATCACTGGCCACTTTAAGAAATGGAACACTAGTCACTTTAATAATGTTTACATATCTTGCACTACTCATCTCATATGTATATACTGTATTCTATTCTATAATATTCTACTGTATCTTAGTCCATGCCGCTCTGTCATTGCTTGTCCATATATGTATATATTCTTAAATTCCATTCCTTACTAGATTTGTGTGTATTGGGTATATGTTGTGAAATTGTTAGATTTTACTTGTTAGATATTACTGCACTGTCAGAGCTAGAAGCACAAGCATTTCGCTACACCCGCAATAACATCTGCTAAACACGTGTATGTGACAAATAAAATGTGATACTGACTGTTAGCACTTGGTGGTCTATAGCAACTTCCCAAAAGAATAGGCTTTAGATGAGGCAGGTGAACCGGTAGCCATATTGCTTCAACAGCATTTGACATGAGATCTTCTCTAAGATTTACAGGAATATGACTCTGAATATAAACAGCTACACCTCCACCATTGGCATTTCTGTCTCTTCTGTAGATGTTATAACCATATATTGCTACCACCGTATCATCAAAGGAATTATCTAAGTCAGTTTCAGTGATAGCCAGTATATGAATGCTTTCTGTTTCTAGCAAGTTATCGAATTCTT